TCGGTCCACCAGGCCATGATTGTCCATTTCCAGACTTCTATCATCAACATCAGGCATACAGGGGTTCCGGTATTCGGACCGCCACCTGTGACACCAGGTCAACTGCTCTCTGCCCGAATTCCACCTCTTCTGGTGGGTGGGTCTGCCTGTCTCTAATCCCTGCATCTTTCCCTGTGGTTTGGGGGGGGTGGGGGGAGACCGACTGTCTCCACTCCCAGGGCTGCTTTATGCTGCTGGGATGAGGGACTGACAATCTCCTCTCCCTGTGACGCTGCCTGATGCTGGGAAGTGAGACCGACTATTTCCACTCCCAGGGATGCTTGCTGCTGTGCGGATGAGGGACCAACAATCTCCTCCCCCGGTAACACTGTCTGCCGCTGGGGAGAGAGACCGGTTTTCTCCTCTCCCACTACCGCTGGGGAGTAGGACCTACTGTCCCTACTCCTGGTAACTCTGGCTGCCGCTGGGGAATGAGACCGACCGTCTCCACTCCCTGTCACTCACCCTGCCACTCCCTTTCACTCTCCCTGTGACTCTGTCTGCCGCTGGGGAGAGAGACCGGTTGTCTCCTCTCCCTGTAAGGTAAGCTGCCGCTGGGGAGAGAGATCAGTTGTCTCCTCTCCCTGTAAGGTAAGCTGCCGCTGGGGAGAGGGACCAGCCGTCTCCTCTCCCTGTAACACGCACTGCCGCTGGGGAGTAATACTGACCATCTCCACTCCCTATAATTCACCCTGCCGCTGGGGAGGAAGGACGACACCTTCGGCTCACTGTACTGCACACTGCTGCTAGGGAGTGGGACCGATTGTCTCCACTCCCTGTAAGATACACTGCCCCAAAAGAAAGACAATTGAGCTTACATTATAAGCTCTATATATTGTGAGTGGTGACTTGTCGTTATATTTTCAAATTATAAAATTCTGTACAGTCTGCACTATGATATGTTTTTTATATTTTAAAGAGAAACCATACCTTAATTAGGACTACAAAGTAGGGAAACATTTAAAGGTATATTGTCCATATTTGTATATTTCACTACACAGTATCTATATAAAAACACTCTTCACTTTAGACCACTGTAGCACTCCACCATTAGACTTTTTTTGGATTCTTGCATGAAAAGATAAGATTATGGTGTTTTAGCAGCTGGTTACGTAATTTTTTACAAATTGTGGTATCAAATGTCACTAAAATATTAGCGCTGGTACGTCACCCTTTGCATAAAGGTTAAAGTTTATTGCACACTTGAGAACTACATTGCATATCTACTGTATTTCTTCATATTTCTATCTGTGTTTCCATTGCCTTTCAGATTGGAACTTTTTTGGGTAATTTCTTTGACTCTGCACCTTATTTTCCATACTTATCCTATCCATTTTGTATTGTCTGTATAGTTCCTGCATTTACTGAATCTAACCTCTGCTGTCATACAGTATATAAAGTGCTAAGGATCATTGTTAGTGCTATGTATATAAAAAGCATATACCACATGAAATAAGCCTAATATATGCAAGCTTGCAGATTTAAAAATGTGTTATAGGGAGCTTTAATGCAGGAAAGGTCATTCCTAAATTTACCCTTTGGCAATGAAGGCTACTAACTATTCTTCCCCGGTGACAAGTTATATTCAACTTGTGGTGAGTTTCCTAATCTCTGCAATGCAATACTGATATAGAGCACAGAGGCACTTTTAAAAAGAGGTCAAGGACAGAGAAATGTAATGTTCATAATCAGTGGTGCATTGGCACGTCTATGGGACCTGCAAAATGTAACACTTTCTGTGCCGGAGAGAGGGGTCAAACTTTGGAAACTGTATAATTAAAGTAAATCAGATGTTTGGCAACATGGAAACCTTTGTATATGGGGCTTATGAAGAAAGCTATCCAAGTAATTGGATAAGTGAAACGTGTTAAGTGTATCTAACTATTTTATATTATTTTTACTGTTTTATAAACTAGTAAATCTAATAAAGTACTTAATATTTTAAATTTTTTTGGACTTCACCCTGAATGTTTTCTGGAGCCTGAGACCACATATTCCTTTGGTGGGGAAAAGACCACGTGAGCGCTGTGTAGTGAGCAAAACCCTAATTTGCTTCAAGCCAGTGAGCCCATAAGGCAGGGCTGATATCCGGACCTTCTGTATCCAGCTGAAGATTCTTTACACTATGGTACGTTAAGATAAGACGACACCACATATCCTTAGGCGGGGATTATACCGCCCAGGCGCAACCAGATTGAGCTATCCTAGCTCTACAAACTGTGAGTGCAAATCTTTTTTTCTTATTTTTAATTGTCACAGGATATACTACACCAGTGATGGCGAACCTTTTTGAGCCCGAGTGCCCAAACCGCTATACATGCCAACTTTTTTTCCCTCAAAGCGCCAACACGACAATTAAACCTGAATACTGAGGTTTACATTTACAGTTGTCCGAACTAATTAACAACTTTGTTTTAAAAGAAGAACACAATAGAGAGCTCAATGATACAAATTTTAAATAATGATATAAATAGATAAAATTAAGCATATATTTATTAGTATCTCCAACAAATGAAATACATACACACAGACTGCTGAACACATTCACACACTGGCCGCTAAATACCCATACAGACAGACTGCTGAGTACACACACACACACACTGACTGCTGAGTACACACACACACTCTGCTGAATACACACACACACAGTCTGCTGAGTACACACACATAGTCTGCTGAGTACACACACACACACACAGTCTGCTGAGTATACACACACACAGTGTGCTGAGTACACACACACAGTCTGCTGAGTACACACACACAGTGTGCTGAATACACACACACACACAGTCTGCTGAGTACACACACACACACACACACAGTCTGCTGAATACACATACGGACTGCTGAATACACACACACAGAGTGCTGAATACACACACACACAGACTGCTGAATACACACACACACAGATTGCTGAATACACACAGACATACAGTCTGCTGAGTACACACACACACACAGTCTGCTGAGTACACACACACAGTCTGCTGAATACACACACACAGTCTGCTGAATACACACACACACACAGTCTGCTGAATACACACACGGACTGCTGAATACACACACGGACTGCTGAATACACACAGACAGACTGCTGAATACACACACAGACTGCTGAATACACACACACACATACTGCATTAAGGGGTGCAGTGTATGTGTTTGTGTGTAAGGGCGTGGAGTGCTGTGTGTGAGGGGTGCTGTGTGTGTGTGGGGCGCTGTGTGTGTGTGTGTGTGTGTCTGAGGGATGCTGTGTGTGTGTGTGTGTGTGTCTGAGAGGTGCTGTGTGTGTGTCTGTCTGAGGGGTGCTGTGTGTGTTTCTGTCTGAGGGGTGCTGTGTGTGTGTCTTACTGTCTGAGGGGTGCTGTGTGTGGGTCTGTCTGAGGGGTGCTGTGTGTGTGTGTCTGAGGGGTGCAGTGTGTGTGTGCCTGAGGTATGCAGTGTGTGTGGGGGGGTGCTGTGTGTGTGCGGGGTAGGGGTGCTGTGTGGGGGTTAGGGTGATGTATGTGGGGGTGCTGTGTGTGGGGGGGTAGGGTGCTGTGTGTGGGCGGGAAGGGTGCTGTGTGGTGTGTTGGGGTAGGGATGGTGTGGTGTGTGGGGGGTAGGGGTACATTAAAAAAAATATATATATATTTATTAATTCTGTATCCTCCCCTCCCTTCCTCTTACCTTTGGTGAAGGAGGGGGGGGACACACAGCTATCCCTGGTGGTCCGGTGGTGGTAAGTAGGTTTGTGTGAAGCAGCTCTCCTGTCCTCCCGCGCGATGCTGTGTGGAGCGCTGCCATGGTAACGCACGACAACACTCCACACAGCATCGCACGGGAGGACAGGAGAGCTGCTTCCTAGTGCCCTCCCCCTACCTCCCGACACGGAAGCAGAGTAGGCGCCTGCTGTTTTGGGCAGGCAGGTGCCTATTCTGCAGACAGCCAGCGGCCCCCTCTCCCGGCGACCTATGGCCGCGTGCCCACAGAGAGCGTCCGGTGTGCCACCTGTGGCATGCGTGCCATAGGTTCGCCATCACTGTACTACACTATATCTTGCTATATTTTTGTCTCCACATATTCTACTACTTCTGGAAACACCTCTATCTCAAGAAATACACCAAGGCACTGCCCCTTCTTCTTACCTGTTTGTTCATTTTATTGGACCGAATTAAGAGACTCTGGTTTGGGAGCTGTGGCTGCCTACCTGTTTAAATACATGCGCTAGAGACCCAACTCACAAATATTCTGAGATGTCTCTTGATGCCCATGTCCCCATTGAATTCAATTGATCTAAACATGAAAAAGTGAAAAAGTTATTTTGAGTCAGCAAGATGACAATGAACCAGTTTAAAAATGTCCATTGGACTGCAGTGTGTTAAGTTGGTTTAGCCAAACTAACCCTGAAAGAGTTTAGTAAATACTCCGAGAGGGTACACCTTAAACACTGTAGCTTCCAGGCTCAAATCAGTTAGATTACAGCAACACTTAGAAATATGATTTGCATAAGGTGAACTCACACATGAGGTTCACAGAGTTTATTCTTTCTGTACACTTTGCTGATGTAACGTCTAGGCAAGCACACTATACTGTGAGATAAGGCTAAATGATCCAGCCCTGCTAGCCAATGCTGTGTTAGGGAGTTCTCTGCTTCTAGGTATTATCCATATATGCTTTTGATACAGACATAAAATTCAACATAAAAAAAATAAATCTATAATATTATTAGCAAAAGATGACAAGATGTAGACTTTCAAACTACAATTTGTATCTGTTTTAGGTAGTTGAAAAGGTATTCTTTGAGATACATTTATAGATATGTTGTGTATTAATATTATTTTGTATTTTTAATATAATTGCAACAATGCAGTGTTAGAAGGCCCAGGATATATTTGAAAATTCCCAGATTTTACTATTAACATGACGTAAAGTCATGATTTTATTAAAGACACGGAGGCGAGTATTATGCATAACTCTTTCTTTATTTCCTCAGCAGCAAAGATAGAGGAATATAAATATTGTCAAAAATGAAAGAAAAAACTGTATAGATACACAGGCAACCAATCACATAACAGAGGAAGTGACTATATAAGGCCTGTGTCTCCCACAATCCCCCTCTTTCTTGCGAAAACCGAAGACCAGGTAAGAAGAACGAAATCCAACTTGTCCAGAACAGGAAACGGCAACGAACCGATAACGTCAAGCTAAAAGAGAGAGAGAAATATGGTAATAACTAAACTCCAAACTGTAGACTTACCAAACAAACCGTTGGTCATTCAATGCTAGAAAAAAACGGAATCAAAACAAACTGTTGATAATTCAATGATAGCAACTGAAACCTGAAAGACATAAAAAATATATCATTAATATAATATGTGAACGACATACACAAATCTCATCGAAAAACAGACCGAAATGAAAACATACCTGAAGATTCCAATAGCATCTCATCCCTATACCCACATCGGGAGGGTGGGAGGGAATAATACTCGCCTCCGTGTCTTTAATAAAATCATGACTTTACGTCATGTTAATAGTAAAATCTGGGAATTTTATTAAAGACACGGAGGCTCATATTATGCAAGTTCAAAGCTGTGCCATCACCTGAGATGCGATATGTTCAATAGGTCTGAAATAGAAGTCGCGGAAGGTCGATTCTCTAGACCAGTCCGCTGTACGCATGATGTCCTCCAGTCGACAGCCTGGGGTGGCGGAGGTCGTCAGGGTCAAACAGGGGGTTACCCTGAGGGTCAAACAATACTTTACTATCCCCAGTGGGGCTTAACACTTGACCCTTATTAGTGGCAGCGGATCCCGAGGGGGTCACACCCGTAGGGGGTAAGTCTCCGCCCGAATCCCCCTCATCATAGGAATCATACTCCATATCGTCAGACTCATTCTCCACACTCCGGTCGGTATCCGACCCATCATCCAGGGCTCTAGCCCGTTTCCACAATCTAGCCTTTTTAGCCCGGCCAGGGGCTCTCTTGCGCATGGGAGGTGCGCCGTCTGTGACCGCGTCAAGCGAGTCCATCATGGCAGGCATAACCTGCATCGAGGAGTGGGAGCTGACGTGTTTCGCCTTAGCCCTAGCCTTACGGGCCTCAGGCATGGCGGGGGCTGGCGGGGGGGTCCCATCACCCAGGGGGGAGGGAGCCACCAAGGAGGGCAAAAGCATATTCTGCAGAGACTGGGAGAATGATGTGGACACCGCTCCCATGGCAGAGGCAAAGGCCCTCTGCAAGGATGATGCCATAGTGGCATCCAAGAGGGCTTGGAATTCTTGGGAAGCCACATTGCCCTCAGGAACATCGTGATTAAAAGTGTCAGGGAGGCCCTCATGCCCCTCATCCCTGTCTCGCATAATGGCAGGGCAAATACTCACAGAATGTAGAGAGAAAAGGGGTTGAGTAACCCACAGGAGGGTTAAAAACAAGCGAAATGTGCTGACAGGTGTGCCCAGGGGACCCAGGAGACTGCAGAGGCGGGCAGCAGGCTGGCCGCGAGCCGCAGGGAGTATGAGGACCGGCCACGAGTAAGCTCCGCCTCCAAGATGGCCGCCGCATGTGGAGGCTGGCGGGTATCACTCGCGACCAGGACACACTGGGGGGAAGGGGCGCGTGCACCTCACCCACGCGGCACGGAGGTCGCGAGAGCGAGGGACGTGTAGCCGCGCACCCAGAAGGGAAGCCAACCGCCGGGGAAAGTAAGGGAGGGAGACCCCTCCGCCGGGATACAGAACTGGGGAAGGGAAACCCACTAGGCACACCACAGGGATAAACAGAACCCAGCAAATACAGCACAGTAATAAAATGTAAAACAGCAATAAACAGCAACAATCAGCAATAAATGATGAAACATGTAGAGAAAAACTGAGATACTTAGCTGGTCTGAGGAAGCAGCAAAGAAAGAGGGGGATTGTGGGAGACACAGGCCTTATATAGTCACTTCCTCTGTTATGTGATTGGTTGCCTGTGTATCTATACAGTTTTTTCTTTCATTTTTGACAATATTTATATTCCTCTATCTTTGCTGCTGAGGAAATAAAGAAAGAGTTATTCATAATATGAGCCTCCGTGTCTTTAATAAAATCAGAGAAATGTCAATATATCCTTACTGGTAAAATATTTTATAAATAAATAAATTCAGCCCACTTCTGTTATTATTGTTATTGGTATTTATATAGTGCCAACATATTCTGCAGTGCTTTACAACATTAGAAATGTGGGAAAATTAACAATAAGTAAGACAATTACAAAATGTTACAGAAACAATTTGATGATGAGGAACATACTCAAACAGGCTTACAATCTAGAGAATGTGGGGTATAAAAACACAATAGGAAGGGCAGAGAAGAGATATATCTTGGTGTCATTGGCATGCATATAGTAGAGTAATCCAAAAGAATTAATATGTTTGCCAAGCGAGGCAGTATAAAGAGAAAACAAAAGGGGACCAAGAACAGGGAGTTGGGGGGACTCCAACTGTGACAGGATGAGAGGAGGACGTGTTATTAGAAAAGGAGACACTGAATGAATGTTGAAATGTTGATAGAGATAGCTATGCAAGTATAGCTTTTCTACTTTATCTAATATGTGGATGTCCAATAAACTTTTTCAAGTTATTTTTAAGATCCTTTACATTGCATAGAATGGTTTAAAAGCTGCTAAATTCGCACTTACGGTATGGAAAGGCAGTTAATGGTTTGCAGTTCCCATCACTTTCAGACACACTCTAACTTGCTTGCAGTTGTTTTTCCTGTCCTGGCAGGTAATATTCTTCCTAGGGAGGTATTAGTAACATACAGTTATCAGCAGCTAATTCTGATGTAATCTGAAAGCATATTATAATATGCTTAGGGGAACTTGAGAAAATCACTAAATAAAATAATAGTTTATTATTATTGTAAATGCAAAGGAAACTGAAAGGTTGCTATACATATTAGGCGTTTGGCAACTTTTCTAAATAACCAGCGGTTTGTTTACTAAATCATTTTATGTTTAACATTTAGATTAGATTTATTAAAATTCATGCAGGGATTGGATATGTGCATCAAAACCTTCTGGCCTTGTAGCCTTCTGGCCTTCTGGCCTTGTACCAAAGCATATCCAGCAATCTAAAAAGAAAACTGCAAAAATAACCAATTTATCTCGCTGTGAAATGTTATTAAATAGCTCTGTGCTGGGAAAATGTCAGTGATACGGGTTACAAATGTGTAAGGGAGTCTAATTTAAAGTAGATCAGTCACTTTCATGGGTCTTTGCATATTTTGCAAAGATGTCCAAAGATGTCAATTCTGGTTAAAGTTGTCGGGTGTAGGCCTTGAAATTTCAACACTGTCACCATTATTATGTAATAAAGATTGTCTTTATGAAGTACTGAAGTATAAGAACTGCTTTACTTCTTGAAATGAGCATTAACCCCTTAAGGTCCAAACTTCTGGAATAAAAGTGAATCATGACATGTCACACATGTCATGTGTCCTTAAGGGGTTAAAGGGACACTCCAGGCACCCAGACCACTTCTGTCCATCGGAGTGGTCTGGGTGCCAACCAGTGGCGTACTAAGGGGGGGTGAGGGAGGCGGTCCGCCCTGGGTGCCACTCACTATGGGGGTGCCCGGGGCAGACTGCAATGCCCCTCCTGTGCCCATCACCGAGACCAGTCTGCAGCTCCTCAATGTGCAGAGCTGCAGACCATGTTTCTCGCGTGCACTGCCCAATCAGAGCGTTGCCGCGGGTTACCACGGCAACGCTCTGACTGGGTCTCGCGAGATCCATGGTCTGCAGCTCTGCGGAGCTGCAGATCGGAAATGATGGCCACTAGGGATTTAAGGTAATTCTTTAGTCCCCCCTGCATAACTCCCCCCTCCCTCGCACAGTAACTCCCCCTCCCTCTCACAATCAGACCTACTCCATCACACAATCACCCCCCCTCTCCTCATCACCCCCTCACACAATCACCCCTTCCCTCTCCCCATTACCCTCTCTCATCATCACCCCATCTCTCTCATCATCACCATCACCCCCACCCTCTCATCACCCCCCTTTCTCTCATCTTTACCCCCCATCATCATCCCCTCCCTCTCCACAATCACCCCCTCCCTCTCACAATCATCCCTCCCTCTCATCATCACCCCCTCCCTCTCATCATCACCCCTTCCTCTCATCACCCCCTCCCTCCACACTCACCCCCTCTCCTCATCACCCCCTCCCTCCCACACAATCAGCCCCCCTCCTCTCACAATCACCCCCCTCAACTTCAGCCCCCCTCCTTCTCACAAATCACCCCCTCTCACAATCACCTCCCCTGGGCTCTCTCTCACTTCATCCCTCTCACACCATCCAACCACCCCCCTCCCCCTCTCATCCCCCCTCCCTCTCACAATCATCCCTCCCTCTCATCATCACCCCTCCCTCTCATCATCACCCCTTCCTCCTCATCACCCCTCCCTCTCCTCATCACCCCTCCCTCTCCTCATCACCCCTCCATATCACAATCACTTTCCTCTCAATCAGCCCCCCCCTCTCACAATCAGCCCCCCTCCCTCACAATCACCCCCCCTCAACTTCAGCCCCTCCTTCTCACAATCCCCTCTCACAATCACCTCCCCTGAGCTCTCTCACTTCATCCCTCTCACACCATCAACCACCCCCCTCCCTCTCACCATCACCCCTTCCCTCACACCATTATCCACTATACAAGCACACACACTGCATTCACTATACAAACACACATAGACACAAACTTATACATGTGTGTCTGTGTATCTGTATGTGTGTTGGTATATGTGTATCTGTATGTGTCAATGTGTGTTTGTGTATCTGTTTGTGTGTCTGTGTTTGTGTCACAGGATCCGCCCCGGGTTCCAACTCCCACCACCCTCAACCCTGCAAGTGTAATTATTGCAGTTTTTATAAAGGGTTAAGTCCTTCCGTGTTCTTTGATCATGAAAAGTGTTTTAAACGATGCTGGACGTCCTCACGCTATGCATGAGGACCACTAGCATCACCGGAATCCCTATAGGAAAGCATTGAATAATGCTTTCCTATGGGGAGGTCTAGTGCGCGGCCATTGCCGTGCATTCGCATTAGGTCTCCCCGGCCTGCTGACGTCGGTGGGGGAGGAGCGTGGGCTGAGTTTTTACCGCTTCAGGTTTTAACCCCTTCAGCAACATGGGATGGGGGGTGGGAGGGAGAGGGGCACTGCAGGGTCCTGCAGTGCCACGAAAACGGATATGTTTTCCTGGCATTGGAGAGTCCATTTAACATTATTATTATTTTTATAGCATTTATGCATGCGTGACAGCATTTTGTAAAATTACTAAATAAAAGGCTCAACCCATGACTCTCCAGAGCAAAACACAGCCTAGGACATACTTAAAACAAGAGAAATCTCAATGTATCCTTCTTGGTAAAATATTTTATAAATAAGTGAGCCATTTCCTGCTGCTGTCTATATAGCAAAATACAACCTGGTCTACTCTAAAGTCAGCTGGGCTGTATGAACTGATCAAATCTGTAGTAGTAGTTAACCATTCCTGTGTTGTCTGCATTATATACTTAAGCTGTATGTTTTCTTTAGTAGGAAATTAGCTTAACTGGTATGCTAGAGGGATTTTCGGTAAATGTGGCTCTTCTATGGGCTAACTCTTGCCACTGTGGCAGCATTTGAAAAAACAGTGATGAACACTATTGTAAGGTTGTGAGACCCTCTAGTGGTCTCTTATGAAGGTGCATGCTGGCACTTGAAAAATAACAAAATACTCCTTGGTATGAGTGTGTGTAAATTTATATGTCTGGTTAAATTTCTGCAGGAGTGTCTGTATGAGACCATCTGACTGAAATAGGTAAGTGAAACTCGAAAAAAGCATCTCTAGCGGATGTCAGTATGACAACCAGTAAACATTGCTGTTTTCTGCAGTAAGGCAATGTTTTCAGTTGCAGGGTTGAAACTACAGTGATAATTAATTGACATGAGGTGGTCTGAGTGCCTGAGTGTCCTTTTAAAGGTTCACTATTGTCACCAAAATAACTTTAGCTTAATGAAACAGTTTTAGTGTATAGCTCATGCTTCTGAAGTTTCACTGCACAGATCTCTGCCATTTATGAGTTAAATCACTTTTGTTACTGTTTATGCAGCTCTAGCCTTACCTCCCTGGCTGACACAGCCTGCATGAAAACAAAACGGTTGCATTTTCAATCAAATGTAACTTTCTTTAAAAGTTTTAATCTCCTGCTCTGTAATTTGAGCTTTAATTACATACAAGAGACTCCTGTAGGGTTTAGCAAACTAGTAACAAAGCTGGAGATAAGACATTATAAATTAAACACAATTTACAATAAAATGTGTAAACATTAGATGACTCTTTACAGGAAGTGTATGGGATGCCTGTGTAAGTCACATGCAGGGAAGTGTGACTAGGGCTGCACAATCCAAGTGATCTAACTCCTAAATGGCAGACAATTGAGCAGTGAGACTACAGGGGCAAGATCAGTACACCAAATCTGCTTCATTAAGCTATAGTTGTTTTGATGACTATAGTGTCCCTTTAACTAAACTTTTGTTACCATGCAGTGAAAGTGTCCAAAAGGGTTTGTATATTTTGTATATTTTTAAGTAAATGTATTTTTGAAGAGGTAGTTTGAAGTGTTATTGTTATGCAGAAATGTACTTACTTACCTTTATACGTTGCAATTAAGAATATGTTAACATTTTATTACAAAAAAATATATTTTGGGGTTTTAACATCTAGGTAGTCAGCACAGTTACAATAAAAAGATACGAATTGAGGGCACACCCATAATATGCATTTCTAAGCAGTGGTTCTGCTGTTAAGACCAAAGCATTTGCAAAATACTATATACGTGAAAGAGAAGTAGTGTACCAAGGAGAGGGCTGGGATATGTGTCAAATATGGAGGAAATTTTTATTGATCCAGAAATATCATATATGGAAAACAATTAAATATTATTGAAAAAACTATTGAAATTGCCCAGTGGCAAGACAAATACAATAGAAGCATAGAATGTGACGGCAGATAAGAACCATTCGGCCTATCTAGTCTGCCCAAATAATTAATGGTGCTCATGTACTGTGAACAAACCCAAAAGTGAGGAAATAAAAAAGATCAATACGATATATCAAGAACAGGAATACAATAGGTGTCAATAAGTAAACACCAACTGGTATGATTACTCAATGTCGGTCGGGCGGACATAAAAGGAGAAGCCTCATGGAGTTTGATGGAGCGGAGGTTTGTGAGTAAGTATCAAAAGGTCAATTTGCAGAGGTAGCGCAAGGTAGGTGTTAAGCGCAGGGCAGCGAGTGCGGCTGGTGCCGGCGGGAAACTCACGCTCAGGTAAATTACATGATTGGTTAGTTGCAGCGCGAGCCACATTGAGGCGGGAACTGCAGGGGTATAAATTCAAAGGCGCCAAAATTCAATTCACCTCAGCTGGTGAAATAACACAATCGGAAATTGGCTTTTGTAAGTATTAAGCTGAAGCCCCACCGACCCTCCCCCTTTTTTCTTTCAGGAACCTTGTCGTGAATTTATTATGGGATATAAGTCACCCTCCTGGGCATCACAGGAGGCTGGATTTGGTTGGAAAAGGATATTTATGGCTCCTGGCTTTACAAGATGGTAGTCCATCTGGTACTGTCTTTCACTACCATATGACAGCACAATAGGAATCGGTATTTTTGTTTTTGTGTGCGCTGTTCCTTTAACTGTGTTTTGTAATCAGCACAGTTATAAAATAATATAAAGACATTTCCTGGAAGCAGCATTATTGAATAAAACATTGAAAATCATCTAGAACTTGTGTTGATTTTTTTAATGTAATGTGCCTGGTGGTTCCCCTGGTTTCCATGGTGACTGACCCACATTAATATTATAGACCACATTTTAGAACAGAACACTTTGATAAATCTCTCCAACAGTTTATGTTTCTCCACTTTCACATACTACATTCGATGACAGAAATGTTACAGAGCTCAAAACAATGAGTTACAGGAAGACATGATAGAGTAAAGGTGCTTGTCATTTTCTTTCTTTTTTATCTTTTGGTTTTCCTTTCCTAATGCCCCTTGCCTGTATATTTGGAAAGGTAGGGCTAGTTGACATTTGCTAGGTGGTCTTTGTTCATGGTACAGAAAGCAAAAAGCTGCCTCTGACATTAAGCACCATCGTGAAGAGGAGGGGATTTAGGGACAGGCAGGAAGGAGGTGGGTGACTGCAATGAAACTGGGGAAGCTCACTGTGGCAGGACCGCCACTGTTGGTGGGTTTTGCCCTTCTTTATTATGTTTGCTGCTTGTATATTCTTGTGCTGTGCCTGCTCCCCGTTCGGGAGTGCTTCCACAAAGGAAATCCATTCGCCTCCCGAACATGGACCACCCCAATGAACCACTTAGAACGATGATTAGAACGTTCAAACTTCACAACAAGGTGTCAAACAGCAAACTGCAAAAAAAGCCATTGGTGCGTGCGGATACTGGGTAGCCCCATTTCGTATATGTAGCGAAGCGGCAATATTAAATCCCACGAACTCCGCTGGTATAGAAGGTAATCCACAGTCAAGCGCTGAAAAGTAAGGCAATATCCCAAATTCCCCAGTAACCGGACGAAACACAGTTCTGGGAGTCAACTGAGGTTTTTATTCACAGCATCCAGTATTTATGCAAGTCCCCATGCAAGGGGTTTCCCTACTGACATAGCAGGGGAAATACAGTAGGGGACTACATGGGGGACTTAACATTCCGACCTTTTCTCCCATCAGGCACTGCTGCACGAGAGGGATACTCCCACTAGAATATACCGTTAAGTGGATTATCCCTCCGTGCAGCATAACCGGCAATTCACTTTAAAAGCTATAACTTTTACAATACTTAGTCCATTTAAACGAACGGACGCTCGGTAGATAGCTGGGGTCTGAGTGCACAGTTCGTGAGAATACCGCTCAGATCCCAGCTAAAACAACCGAATGCCGCACGAAATACACTTTGCCATTGAGTTCGCCCCAAAGTACCTAACACCGATGGGGAAACCCTAATAGCGAAAGACCGGAGCTCCCGAACAGCCTGGAAGTCCAGCGGTGTTCGCGACGTCATGTAGCCATTTTCAGCTCCACGCGCTCGACGACCAAACACCGCTGGGGAGACAAAGGATCCAAGATGGCCGAACGCCGAGTGGTCGGTAGCCGAACGACGGCCACCTAGGAAAGCCTCTAATTACAGATTGCAACATTGTTGCAATCGGTTAACGAGCGCCACACGTCCCTCTCTGTGTGGGCTATTAGGGGGTAGCTCATTCGGTTCACGAACAGCCTGTAAAGTTGCTGTTCGTGAAACGAAACACATGAATGCTAGCGGCTTTCGGCTGCTAGCATACGAATTCAATACAAAAATACATTAACACACAGTGTACAGCCAGGTTATACAAGAAGTTGCAGGGATAATGCAGGCAACCTTTTTATGCACATCGTCCAGATTATTACCGGTGGCTAGGTTTGCCACAGTATAGATGAACGCCAACCAGGGGGAGCATTCGCAGATTGTGTCTCACCTCGTTCTGTTCCCGAGCAAGGTCCACCCCGGTACCCATTGGAATGTTCACGCCAACCAATTAGAACGTTAACAGCTCGCAACATAAGTGTGAAACCACAAGGGAAGTAATTAATTAGTGCTTCCCTGGGTGGCCTCCGTTCATATAAGAAAGGAGACGCTTCCCTTGCCAGGTGTCACACAGGGACCCTGCGAACGGAGGCTGTTCAAGGCAGGTACCATTATGGCTGTACATGGGATTGGTGTGGGCAACCTTTGGGGACAGTGGCTGGTTTAGCGGGCTTTCTGTAACTGGGAGTCAAGGAGGCGGGAAGCTTTCTCGCGCTGTGACTCAAGGGTACATAGGATACTGGAAAGAAGACCCCCTGTCACCGGAAGTGGGAGACTCTACATTTGGGTGGCAGGAACAAAGGGGATCTTGGGAAGAATACCCCCTGTCACCAGAAGTGGGAAGCCCTGCAGTTGGGTGGCGGGAACAAGAGACAAAGAGACTGGAGTTCCGTTTCTGCAATACAACCCCTGGGAGGGGACACTGTCATTGTGTGGTGTACACCCCTTGCATGGGGTTTTGCATAAAAGCCAAATGTGGCAAATAAAGTGTTGTACCTCCAGGACTGTGTCTCCTCCAGTTACGGGATAAAATTAGTTTCTTCATAGTGTAAACGGTTCCTGTTCGGTTGAAGGAAGGGAATTAGCGGAGGCAATCAGTCGGGTTACTAGGTGGTCCACTACACTCACTGTAAAGGAAAGAGACAAAATGCTGCAGTTTAATATGCAATTACCTTACATTAGAGGAGTGAGGCCTATTTATAACATAGGCCTGGAGCTGCAGCTCCCTCAAGTCCTATGTTAATCTGGATTTGACTGTACAGTCTATGATGTATGCTCCCCTTAATTATATTTACTTTATCCAAGAAAATATGATAAAGACCTTCCATCCTGAAAAATGCAATTTATATGTGAAGTTGAGCTTTGGCATAGTAATAAGTTTGCTACTTCAATGTTATCAAGTTAGCATCTGCTCCAGGGAGACAGGAATACGCTCTTTGTTCATTAGTAGAAAAAGGGGCAATTATATTATAATGCGTAATATATCGCATTTGCATTCAAGAAACAAGCACAGTTATCTAGAAATCAACCAAGCACATTTCAGTTGTGGTAATGCAGGGTTTTGACAAAAGCTTCTATATTTAAATATTCACCAAAATTAAAGTACAAATGTTAAATAGAAACAAAAAGTGGGCTCGTCCGGGATTTGAACCCGGGACCTCTCGCACCCTAAGCGAGAATCATACCCCTAGACCAACGAGCCAGCTGTGAATAGCTCTTCCAGATGTTTTAAAGAATTTGACATCTGCATTCTCACATTTAGCATCATATTACAGTATTTGTAAGTACAGCATTTGACCAGGAATGGGAACATGCAATGAAACTAGCTCTGGAATTAGATCGTAATTGTAGACTCTTTAAATACATGTATGTGTAAATTGGCATGACAGACTGTGCACTAAGTCTTGCATTTAGCAACATTAATTATATTTTCAGTGATAATATTTTATTAAAACAGAATACATATTCATTCTCCATAGCCTTAAAAATAAATGTGAAGAATGAGGATACATGTAGTTCTGAAAAATGTACAGCAGCAAAGGACTAGAATTCCAGAAACTTGATCTGTGTCTCTTTAAATGTATACGAAAAAAATTACATTGCAATCCTATTCACTCCAGGCATAGCCAGGGCAAGCATTGCAAGGGAAAAGGAGATTTCTCAAGTGGGTTGGGGTCAGTGGCGGACCTACCACGGTCGCAGGGGCCGCAGCTGCAATCCCTGCTCCATGGGCCAGTCAGGGGCTACAACCTTTTCACTTATAAGGGGCCCAGATGTTTTAAAGAATTTGACATCTGCATTCTCACATTTAGCATCATATTACAGCACATACAGTACAGCATTTGACCAGGAATGGGAACATGCAATGAAACTAGCCCTGGAATTAGATTGTAATTGTAGACTCTTTAAATACATGTATGTATGCCCCTTACATGCACACAGACCCAATCAGGGAGATATTTTGAGCACCAGGAAGGGGAAGAGGCTCTCTGTCTTCACTTCCGTGGCTTTCAGAGCATTGCCGCGGTAAACAAAGCTGGTAGGAAACAGGGAGGGGGAGATATACTAAATATTTTATTTTTTTAATTACGTTAACAAAATACTTATATAAAAAAAGATGCTCCCCTTTCAGGCTCCACAGCTCCTATCCTACCCAGCAAACACGTTCTCACACAATGCATTCCTACACACACACACACAATGCTTCCCTACACACACACACTGCATCCCTACACATATACAATGCATCCCTACACTCACACATAATGCATCCCTACACACACACACACACACACACAAAATGCATCCCTACACATACAACGCGTAATACAACGCGTCCTTTACACACACACAGAAACACACAATGCATCATGTGCACACACACAAAAACATACATGAACGTGCTGGGGCGGAGGGAATGACACACATGGGAAGGGGGGATGGAACGGAGGCAATAATACACATGGAGGGGCTGGGAGGGACGAGACGCAAAGGGGGTATGAGATGCATGGAAGGGCTGGGGGGGATGAGATGCATGGAGGGGTTGGGCAATTTTCACACTGGGGCCCAGTGATTTCTAGTTATATCTCTGGGTGGGGTTATTCAATAAAGATTAGATTATGTCCACATATTAACCAAAGCCAAAAATGGTTGGTTACCAGTTTGCCTGGATGCATTCAGTTTCTGGATTAATATTGGTGCTTTTGCTTTCGATTCCTATAAAAAGCTTTTACTAAGATTCTTATTCTCAAATTATCGTTCACTTCCTTTTTTGCCTTGGCGGCACTATGGTTAATTATGTGGTGGCTGGCCAGTGCTTGCTAGTCATCCTTCACATAAAAAAGTAAAAAAAAAAAAGAAAGAATTAGGAAGGAATATTGGAGGCCATGGCATCTGTTATCATCTTAGTAAATCATAAAGAACAGGCATACTTCCCATCCCCTTTATACCCACTAACACATAACCCGATGTTTGAAGCAGGATTGCAGGGTCTCAGTTATAAAGACTACTACTCGAGAACATATCTAACTTTGGGTGAGATGCTAATAAACTCAGGGATTAAACCACTTTTCACTATTAAACATATGAATACTCCCACGGTCATGGAAAAATGTAACTATGACCAATTACACATTTTATAAGCTCTTATAATTCACTAGATGAGAACATACGTGATCTCACTACATTCGAGTCCCTTTACACCACGCACACCCTATCTAAATGCCAGCTTGCTCACTTCTATCATATGCTCTAAAACATGAACCAGAGGTAGCTGCCCTCCTTCACTACAAAATGGGACAAAGACCCCTGCAGATTGGGGAAAAAATTTTTTGCACATAGATCTTCTCTGAATGTATCCACACAGGAGAGCAACTATAAACAAATCTCTCGTTAGCACTACTCCCCCTTGGCCATCAACCGCATTTTCCCCAATTCTGGAGACACATGATGGAGCCACCAGCCAAACTGCGATACCTCACACATATGGTGGCAATGCCCTAAGGTACACAAATTCTGGAAACGAATCACAACCTCCATTAAGGCTATCTCTGTTGCACCCCTGCTGAATACACACAGCTGAATACACATAGAGACGACAGGATACACACACATAGACTGTTGAATACACATACAGACTGCTGAATACACAAACACAGTTGTATACATACACAGACTGCTGAATACACACACACAGACTGAATACACATGCAGACTGCTGAATACACAAACCTGATTGCTGAATACACAAACACAGATTGCTGAATACACACAGAGAATGCTGAATACACATACACAGACTAAATACACTCACAGACTGCCACACCGACACACATAGAATGCTCAATACATACACACACAGACTGCTAGATAGACAGAGACCGCTGAATACACAGAAGCTGCTGAATACACACAGAGACTGCTGAATACACACACAGACTGCAGAATACACACAAATAGAATGCAGGACACAAACACACAGACTGCTGAATACACACACACTGGTGAATATATACAGAGACTACTTAATACACACACACACACTGCTGAATAGGCTGCTGAATACACATACACACACAGACTGCTGAATACACACACACACAAACTGCTGAATACACACACACAAACTGCTGAATACACACGTACCTGCTCTCAGGACTCAGTTGCCATGCTTCCATCTCCTTGTCTGGTAACTCCTCCCATGCGGATTGTGTCAGTGGGGAGGGCAGAGACCTGCTGTGACATACTATCCCTGCCCTCTCCACACACAGCTCATGCACCAACAAGACTACCTAGCACGGCTTCGAACACTGCACACCTGGTGGCGGTGCCAGTATTGCAGAATATTCTCCTGTCAAAAAATACCAGCATTTGTATTGTCAGTATTTTTGCAATACCGGCACCAGCCACACAGCCTCAAATACCAGCTGTGCCGGTAAAATACCAGCCAGGTGGCAACCCTTGTTGTACAACAGATGGGATCTACCCTTTGGCCAACCTTGCATTAGAGGGAGGCCCAAATATTTCTTGCACCAGGGTCCTCTCTATATTAGTTCTGCTACTGATAAAAGTGAATATGGAAATTAAATGCCTGGCAAGAGAGTGACTTCTCTGATCTGTTATGTAACATCACCAGGAATAGTGGCCACATACTCTTAATGCGTGTAGACGTACTGGGTCTAGAGTACCTCTTTTGATACCAATGTCAAATATAAGATATTTTCATGGTCTTGGTCTTACCAATCTAGCCATTCTCTATGAGAAGCATTACTTTTCTCTTTGTACTATAGCACAACACATTCTGGAAGAGCACTCTCCCACTGACAAACTTATTGTGTCAGGTATTTTATAAAAGTGGTAAAATGAAATTTTGAAATCTGCACTTTTATAAAGAAAAATGAAGGGGGCACTCTGTTTACTTTAGTAAGCTTTAAATGTTTTTTTGCTTTTATTTGTTATCTTACATTACTGATTGAACTGTTAACCTTTTTACCTAATCTGTTTAGAGTGGATGCTTTCAGCAAATTATTGCATGGCCCCTGAGTTACAGGAACACTATTGTGTTAAGAAGACAATCTGTATTCCTAATGCTATAGTAGTCTACAAGTGTCCTAGTCCATGGCTACTTCCATTCCTTTCAACTGCCATAAAAATAATTCAAAAAGAAAAAACAAGGAAAAGGTTTCACTTACCTATACTCCTGCACTGAGACTCCTTTGGTGCTGCTGTCGGATTTGCCTCCCATGACATTGGCATCCCTCTCTAGCCAATCGTGCAATCCTATGTTTCTCATAGAGGCGCGTTGGGGATCAATGCACATGAACAGCAACTACATTCAAATACTAATTGTTAAAGAAGAAGTGTGCCTAGAGCCAGTCTTAATACTGCAATGTAAACATTGTAGTTTCTAAAAAACAGAAATATTTTACATTTTAGGACTAAGGGGGGCAGAGACAGTGCACCCAGACCACACCAATGAGTGTCCCTTTAATAACAGTTAAAACACTGCAGCCAATGACAAAATGGATAAGGTTGAGGCCTGATAGAAAGCAGTTGTTGTTGGGGGATTCTATCATAAGAGGCGTGGAGCTGGACAATGGTGGTCTTGTGAGGTGTCTTCCCGGAGCTACTGCTCACAGAGACAGGAGACGTATCTGTAATATTATTAAGCTAGCAAAGCAGGAAGGGGAATTGGATGTACTTGTCCATCTAGGGACAAATGACTTGGCTTGCAATGAGGTTTCAGAGGTTAAGGAAGTTTTTAGCGTTTTTGCCAATGATTGGTTGGTTCCACACTGTCATTCTCTGAAGTTCTGCCTGTGCATATCACTTAGAATGACAGGCAGATGCGTATTAGGGACTTTAACCTGTGGCTTGGTGAATGGTGTCTGGAGCAAGGATTTGGCTTCATTTCTCATGCTAGCTCTGTTTGGAATGGAAATAAACTGTACAAAAAAGATAGTTTGCATCTTTCTCAAAAGGGAACTAATGTTCTCTGTGAGCAGTGCAGAGGTTTTGATAGGATGTATTTAAACTAGGAGGGGGGTGGGGAGGCAAAAGGGTGATAAAACATCAATCAAATTGCCCCCCAAAACAAGGACAAGAGGGGGCCAGGGGGCTCGATTGTGATTTTAACACTATAGGATCAGGAATACATGCTTGTGTCCCTGACCCTATAGTGTTCCTTTAAGTTACCCAACTTGCTTGTTGGATGGTATATGCAATCCGAATGTATGACAGACGTGAGGGTGCTACGTGAGAGATCCACCTTTGAAGAGAATTTGTGGCAAATGGAGGAAAATATGAGTAAGATGAGTTTTCCATCAGTACAAGAGCTACTAAATGTATGTTTATTGCTACTCACAAAGCATAGTTGCCAGCATTTGAAAAATATTTCCAGGGACACTTTGAATCAATTAAATGTTATTTTAGCTTCTCTTATCGCACAGTATGTTTAAAAGGAACACGCCAGAGCGATAAGCCACTATTATAAATGAATCTTGTTACATTGACAATCACACAGCTTGTCCTGTTACTTTCTGGTTGTTTAGTTCAGTGAATCTAAATTCAAGAGGCAGCAATTTCCATGAGCATAGACACAAAAAGAGGCTCAAAGTTGTGCTCTGATACAAGAAGTATATAAAATGTAATCTAATGTTTAGTTCTTTAATTTGGAATAGAAATTTTGCTTGAAATCCACAAGGTGGCAGAATACCCAAAAGAGAATAGAATGTAATTCTCTTATTGTTCTTTCACCAGAAGAAGAAAAGACACTAGTAACTCATTGCCATTTTGAAGCGCTATTATTATCTTAGCTAGGGGAATATATATATCAGCGTGTTCAGCATCCACTCAAGGTCGGCAGGTAGGTCACTTCAGTTCAGATATGTGGAGACATAAGGGAACAGGAAGACTTCAATGATGTTAATTCCACCGTGGGAGCTTAGATTTAAAAGTGCAAATGTACTTACAGAACTTACTGTGCTCTCAGCCTGAAGGTTTGAGGTGGAGTTAAGCCAACCAAATAAAAATATGTTCTTGTAGCATTCGGTCAATGACCAGATTATTATTATGTTATTATTTATATAGCACCTGCACAATGGGGGATGTCCAGTTAAAATCTTATGCTTTAAGAAATGTTATTTAAAAAAACAAAGAAAAAGAGAGTTAACTGCGCACTAGCCCAAATCCCTGTGCATATTTAAATAAATGGAGGTTATTTAGTAACTCCAATGGCCATTAGGTATAAGCCCACCTGCCACGTCAAAGCAAACCTATTAGGTGGGTCCTAACAATTCCCCTTGCTTCCTTCAGCTTTAGGCATCTCTGAGATAGAGAGGGGTATTTTTCTAAACCCCTACATACTTATTAACCCTTAATAGGGAACACATGGAGTGTATGTATTGGGGCTGATGTGTGCTATGGTCGTTGTTGACGCCCAGGAGTAGTGGAAGTTTTAGTGCGGGACTTATTTTTGTGTATTTATTTAAAAAACGAACAGTGTAAAATACATGTAGACAAGCAACATGTTTGTATGGGGTTTTTAAAGTGCTGATTACAGACACTAGGCATGAATGGCACAAGCTATTTAAATAGCAGGGATATCTGTCTCATTTTCAATCAAGGGTCTTGCAGTATTTTTACCATGTATAGATAATATAAACGTTATAAAAATACAATGTGAATCAGAATTATAGGCAATGTATGTAAAACAACTTTTGTAATGTCGTTATTTTTAAATCATCAATAATACTGAAAGCCATGCAATGTCATGGCAACCCTGTATCACAACAGCAGCATAATGTGAACATCATGAAGATTAGAAAGTGCAAAGTATATTATGGGTACATAGAAAACTTTAAAGTTTGGCCGCAAATTTAAAAAAAGTCCCCCGTGAGGTCCCCCACGTGCTCCCACCGTTGGGCATCGGGTCGGTACTTTAAAATGTCTAGTGAGGGGTGGACAAGTCAAACAAGGAAGCCAGTGGGGACTATTTTATAAAATAAACATTAAGTGGCATCCTGGGGCTATAGGAATATAAATAAAAAGAATACTGCCACTCCAGTGGTGGCAAGTAATGGCCCTAATATTAATATTTTAGGGGGGGGGGGGGACTTAATGTCCTCCTCCCAGTCCCCAACCATGGGTGTTGAATTGGGGCTCTAATCATTTTCTCAATTTACACGGAGTTTGTTCCGTGAAACAACGCTTTGCATGAGGACGTACAGCGTCTTGAAAATCCCCATAGAAAAGAATTTATTCAATATTGCTCGCTGTGCATATGCATTATGCTTGCCGTGACGTTGCAGGGGAGAAGTCCAGTCCAGTGCCTATGTGGAATCAGTTACATGAATAAAAGGGTTTTTAACATTTTCTTTACCCTGGGGGTGTGTGTGTGGGGAGGGAAGAGCAACACTATAGTACTAGGCAGAGGGACACTATTGTACTAGGATTACAGTTTTGCATTCCTAACCATATAGTGTTCCTTTAAAGTGACCGTATTAGGATAAAATTAACATTGAAATTGCTCCTATATACATAACATATGCTAGAAGTGCTGTCTAGGGAGTTTCCATAGAACCACAGCACATTTGCTGTGGTTGCTATAGGTGGAGAGCAGAGAGATCTCGTGTGAGAGGTCTTTTCTGTTTTCCCTTGCCAGTCAATCTTTACAGTCAATCCAGTCAATCCTTACAGCTCTATTTTAAAATAGGGTTTTCTCCAAATCTTTACATTTGCTAGCAAAATTGCTAACACAATGTATAGATAAAATCTAATGAACATAAGTTGTTTGGGGCATGACAGATGCCCTTTAAGTAAATGACTCCGTTTGTATATCCATTAATTTCTCTATTGAATATGCTGCCACCTTGTGGACTTCAAACAAAATTGCTACTCTGAACTATAGCATTTGCTTTGAGAATTGTAGATTATGCTAGCGCAGTGTACACTGCGCTAGCATAATCTACAATTTTATAACAGGACAGGAGGCGTCGTATTTTGCATTTTTAATGCAATGGAACAACACAGGATGTGTGAAGAGTCCGAGGAAGTAGAACACCCTGAAAGTCTCTTCTCGTGACCCGGCTAATGAACATCGGCGAAGGAAGATGCGTCGAGGATGTCTGAGATGCATCCATGACCCGAATGACCGATAACCAATCGATCTCCGCAACCATATGAGCAATGGTCAATGTGCCCATCCGGTAAGGTAAGGTGGTGGCCATAACTGGTGTGAAAGGTATTGTATACAAAAGGAGAGAGAGAGGCCGTCTCAATTGTGAGATTCCTCGAGGTTGGAGTAAGTATCCAAATCCATAGGTCAAACCCGTAGGAATAGAGAGAACCACAACTAAGACCCATAACAGAGTGTATTCCGATACTGGTTCTGGAGCGTATGACGCCTCGCGGCATACGAAAAGTCCTGTAGTGGAACGTGAGCCGCCAAAGTCTCCAATGGTATCTTGTGGGTTGTCCGTAAGATGGGAGACAGTGGCAGGGCAGTGGATAGCCCAGAATGGAGCCAATAGAATCGGGAGCCCCTTCCATTCTGCCGTAGTGGCGAGGTGCGTGTCACCCAGATGATGCGATGGTGACCAAGGAGTACCGTTGTCAGTTGGCGTCACGAAATCCAGTTCGTGATATAGGTAATCTCCTGAGGGAACCCTAGTCGTAGGGTAACCTTGCGTGTAATTTAGAAATGGTAAATGTCCTCCGATATTATTAGAGTACAATACCAGACTCCATCCAAGTGTTTTGTGTAGCCGGTTGCCGAGATATTGTTAAAATGTAGGAGAAAATAACCATCGGATCTGTCCCAGGCTAGCTGAAGGTTGTCGGTAATCCTGGCGCTGGCCGTCTCTTCTCCAGATCATGGTTCTCCGGTAGGGGTATGTGCAGCGAGCCTTCCAGCCCTAGAGACTGATTGTCAATTACGTGTGTTGTAAGTAACGTCCAGTAGTCTAGATAGGTGAGGTAGCGGATTCCCTTGTGGTGAAAGGGCGCCATGACCGGTTATAAAAGTTTCTTGGGTACCATGGGTAGTACCTTAACGATAGACATGTGAATTGATTCATTTGGTCCCATCAATGAAAACAAAATGGACAGATGGGTCCGTGGTGTGACTATCCTGGACGGGTATGTGTCTGTCCAATCCGAATGATTGAACCCACGTAGGTGTGGGGAAGCTGTAGGACGGTGCCAGGATGGTAGTTTTCCGACTACTATGAGCATAAAATTATCCCTGAGCTAACCAGTGACGTCTGGAGCGAATGCCCAGCACTTCTTGGAAATAGGTGTAAGTTTCCTCATATGTGAGATTTGTGGACCTCCAGTACCCATAGAGGGGTGGTACTGGAAGGTGTGGACTTCGACCCCCAAGGGTATCCAGATTAAACATTAGTTCACGGAGCAAAGTTATGCTTCTGGGTCGTTCAGCCCAAGAGTATAGAGGAATCCTATGTCCTATCCTCCGGCCGTCTGCAGTATTCTAGCCTCCCTACTCGAGTAGAGGTAGCTTCCTTATTTGATAACATGAGAGTGTTGAAGCCGCAGAAATGTAAGAGTATAGCTGTTTCTCAGTAATGTTCTGTCGTTGGGGTGAAGTGAGTGAGGGCCTGCGACCCGGAGTCGAACACGCAGTCTCCTTGTCCTAGGTTTTGTGGCTACAATTGTATGGATCGTGGATGAAGGCCTGGCAACCCCCATTTTGCCGATCTCTGTGTGTTGTCTGACCGAGAGGCGGTCAAATCCGTGGAGTCTCAGGAGATTTCCTTATAGGGGAAGTTAGGTCGTTTGGATAACTTTCAGGCACATCGGGGTTCTGTTCCCAGGCTTGATGTAATAATTTGGAGGGTCCGTGATGGAATACTTGCACTTGTCCTTTGTATATGGGTGCTTGGCCCAGAGCCTAGTAGCTCATGAATTCATAGGCAGATGGGGTACCATGGTTCACAGTCTCTGCAAGACCCTGACCCAGCCTATTGGGGATTGTTGTCTGTATTGAGGTTGCCACTGCAATAAACCTAAGCTGAAAGTCTTGAGTGAGAGTCGTCTGTTGACCTTTCGGTCTGTTAAGTATATATATCTATATATACGGTCTAGGTACATGTGTAAATGTGTTAGGACACCTAGAGCGCCTCCGGCCATAGTTCCATGTGGAATGCGCATCTTCAAGTGGGGGAATAACCCCAGTAGTAAGGGGGTTCAGCCCAATAATAAAGTGCACAGAAGTCTGTAGACGAGTGCCGATCTGTGAGTGCATAGTAATCCATTGTTGAATGCACATCTATGAGGGTTACTCCAGTAGTAAGGGGGGTTTCACCCCAATAGTAAGGTGCACAGTAGCCCATTGGTGAATGCACATCTGTAAGTGAGGGGGGTCACCCCAGTAATAAAGTGCATAGAATCCATTGGCGGATGTGCCTCTGTGAGGGGAGGGTCACCCCATTAGTAAGGGGGGTCACCCCAATAATAAATGTACAGGAGTCCATTGTTGAATGCATATCTTGAGTGGGGGTTCACCCCAGTAGTAAGGGGGGTCACCCCAATAATAAAGTGCACAGTAACCCATTGGTGAATGCACATCTTTGAGTGGGGGGGTCACCCCAGTAGTAAGGGGGGTCACCCCAATAATAAAGGGCACAGAAAATAAAGTTTGGATAGTTTTATTGTGGGGACTTCTCTAAGGAAGTCAGGGTCTTCCGTTTCAGTGGCCGTTGCGGTGTCAGTGGCCGTTTTCGGGATCTGCACCAGTAATTTGGCAATAGCCTTCTCCACTGAGGCGGTTGGTGGTAATTTATTTGACTGGAAGTCAGATGGTGGTGATTGTGGTGAGTCACTCATCATGAAGTAGTGGAGTATTCTGTCTGTGAAAGACAGGAGAATGTCAATTTACGAAGTACGTGAGTAATAGTACAGTAGGCTTCCACTTATGACTGGGGGTCACCCAGTGTTACCTGACCCGAGACCCTGGATGAGCGGTCGTATAAGTGGGTCGCACCCATCAAGGGTGGAGGGCCTGTTTGGTTTGGGGTTCACCCAACAATATATGAATTGTGGAGCCTGTACACTTGCAATTTTCTCCATCCTTGGTAAGGAGGTGTGTGGATCACCCCAGTCGTAGTGTGGGTGTTCAATATTCACTGCATAGAGTCATATTGTTAGTGTATGGCAGGATATTGAACCTGCGTGCACTGTGTCTCTTTGAGCCAGTGGGGGGGTCACCCCTGAATGAATCCTGCCCTGTATGGCTTCGCTTGGCGGTCACCCAGCGTGAGTGGGGTTCACCCCCAACTGAGAGGGGTCACCTCTGTATAGACACTCTGCAGCAGTGTAATGGTTAATGTACAGTGCAGTTTGTTATCAGCAATGTTCCACAGTAAATTATTGTTTAATGGAAATACCTAACTATACATATCCAACGTGTGTTGAAGCGATCGTGTGAGTCATAACCGCTAGTGGCGCAAATGGCCGTCGTGGGTCTCGCGAGTGCGAGATCTAAGATGGCCGCCGTTCGCGCCAAAACAACAGTGCGGCTCGCGGTCACGGCCCGCCGGTGTGGATAGGAAAAATACACAGAAATTAACAGATCACAAGATAGAAAATTCCTATTTTATCTACTTCAGTGGGGATTGAACCTGTAAACCATAAGACATGCTAGTGTATTAGCCCAAGCTATGAATATCACAGCTCCTGACAGGCATTGAAAAACCCTGTAGGAGAAATGAGAGCATTCCAGACAGTGTGACTCACCGTCTGGGAAGGTGGCTGCCCGCCCTGTATCTCGCAGTCCTCGATACCCAAAATGGCCGCTGCGCACACAAATCATGCCGGTAACGGCAAATAATGCCGGTAACACGGATTCCCACACTCCCCCTCCCGCTGACCCTAACCGATGCCCCAGTCCCTAGTTTGATAAGCGCGATCGCAGTAACTTGCCGCGATCGCGAAATGAATGACAGGGAGATAGTGAGAGGGAAGCAAAGGTAGTAAAGGTGGGGAGAAAGGGAAAAATTGAAGAAAATAAATAGTGATGATCAAATATAGAGACAATCCATCAAAACCAGTGTGAATGTTAAACCATAGTAAGAATGGGCAGAGAAAAGAATATTCTGATAGTGTAAATGTAAATTCAATAATAAGAATGAGCAGAGAAAGGAAGCTCTGACAGTGTAAATGTAAATTCAATAGCAGAGAATAAAATACTCAGACCTGTCTGACTGGAGCAGCAAAGAAAGAAGGAATGATGCAATAGGAAGGGCCTTTTATCCCTATGGCAATGTTTTTTTCACTAAACTTTATTGTTAAACCTGTGCTAATGGAGTTTTAGTAAAGAAAGATTATGCAAAATACGAAGCATCCTGTCCTGTTATAAAATTCCCCAGAGCACCTGCCTTGCAAAGACCTCTCATTGGGAAGTCTGTGAGTAGTCGTCTGCCACAGAAAGTCAGAGATTCCCTGGACTGCCCAAGGAAGGGAAGCATGACTGCTGCCCAGGGATGGGGGCTGGATCAAGGGGGAAACAATATTGCAAAATGGGGTACAGATATAAGGGAGCCTGGGGGGTGGGCACTTACCACTTAGAAGGAAGGAGTGTAATTGACAGGAGCTCTTTCCCACCCACCCTCCTTGTGATATTGCAATGTGCGTTGCTTATGGTTGGTGATGGTTGTGGTGGTCTACTGTGTCTGGTTGTCTCTGTTTTGTTTTTGTCACAGCGGGATACCTGGCCAGCGCATGTGAAGGCAAGTGCCAATTCGGATTGGGGAGTCGCAGCTTGCTTGGGCTAAAGGCGGAAGGCAGGCTGCTTTGGACTCTGGGAACAGAAAGTGATATCTGTCTGGTGGAAAAATCACTCCCATCAGCTAACAGTTGGAAGTTAATGCTGGTTCAAAAGTTAAATAAAGCAGTGGCCGTTGCCCTTATCCACTATTGTGTATTTATTGGGCAACGGGAGGTTTACATGGGTCTGCAATCATTGACTAGGTACAAAGTCGGATTACCCATAAGGTCGCCTAGGGACAGACCTCAAAAAGGGTCTGAGCTTGGAGCTCTTTGATCTGGGACCCCCATCTGCCTCCAGCCGAATGCCTCGCTGATAATCTGTGGTTTAATTCTGGTCCCTGTTGGTCCTGTGAGAGGGCCCAGCTTTAACTCTGGGTGCTGTACTGGATGTCCTCGGCTGCACCAGCAGTTCACTGGACCACCAAGGAATCCACGAGGGACCCCACCGGACTAACAGGGACACCAATAGAGGACCTGGGGATGTATTATTGAATCAATTTGAATTGGTTTTCTGATTGACACCTTATAAATGAATGAGGTACGCAGTTTTACAGTGTAAATGGCTCATACCCTCACAGGGCCCTCAGGCAGTTGGTGATCAAAGGCTCCCCCTCCTGGTAGAAGTTTTTTTACCCCTATTCTTCTCCCCATTCTTTCTGCTGCTTTCAAACAGACATTATGTGAACGCTGTCTAGCACACAGAATGACTGTGTGATAGCCACACAGCCCTGACTTCCACACCTGCAGAGCCCCCCAAAACGGGCAGATTTATTTTAAGGGGTTAATCCAACCAAAAACACTGTTTTTAGATGGAGTAACCCTTGCTGGCGTGCCTCCCCAGAAATAAAAAAGAAAGAAGTAAAGCAAATTTAATTACACACGTCCACTGATTTTGCTGATGACATCACAAGCAGCATCCCCCACATGTGCAACCATACAAGTAGCCACATGTATTTGGAGTCTACTTGTGGGGTTGCGTGTGTGGGGATGCTGCTAGTGATGTTGTGTTCCTGTATGTCAAAGTGTTGTGTTGGAATTAATCGTTTCTCTTGTTTTACCTATTGTACAGCGCTACAGAATATGTTGGCGCTCTACCGTGTATAAGTAGGATAGTGGCTGTAGTGTGTGCATGGGGGGATAGCTGCTGAAGTAAGTGCAGAGAGGCACAGGGGTTGTGGTGGAGGGGGCTGGACAGAGTATGGACATAGAGGTTGTGGTGAGCGCAGGAGGGGATATAGAGGCTGTGGTAGTTGGAGGTGGCATAAGCAGTGGCGTACACACAATCCATGGGGCCCCGGTGCGAAACTTACTTGACTTACTTGACTTATTCTGCGTGGGCCGGGGCTGCAACACATGCAGCAGGCACCTGGTCACAGGGGTCGCAGTATGTACGTCAGTGCATGCAGATACACATACACTTAAGGACCACTATAGGCACTCAGATCACGTCAGCTCAATGAAGTGGTCTGGGTGCCAGGTCCCTCTAGTTTTAACCCTGCAGCTGAAAACATAGCAGTTTCAGAGAAACTGCTATGTTTCACTGAGGGTTAATCCAGCCTCTAATGGCTGTCTCACTGACAGCCGCTAGAGGCGCTTCCACGATTCTCACTGTGAAAATCACAGTGAGAAGACCCTGGACGTCCATAGGAAAGCATTGAGTAATGCTTTCCTATGGGTGGTTTGAATGCGCGCGCAGCTCTTGCCGTGCATGCCCATCTGGAGCTGAGAGGCGGTTCGGGACGGAGAGAGATCCCCAGCGCCGAGGGAGCCCGGCACTGGAGAAAGATAAGTGCTGAAGGGGTTTTAACCACACACACTCTCACAAACAGACGCATACACGCTAGCTAACAGACACACACATTTACTGACAGACACACACTCAGTGACAAACATACATACACACTCACTGACAGACAGACATACACACACACTTACAAAACATACACTCTCACTGACAAACACACACTCACTAACAGACTCCGTAACAGACACACACAGTAACACACTCACTGACACTCACTAGCAGACACACACTCAATAACCTACACAACACACTCAGTAACAGACACACACACAGTAACACACACACATAAAAACTAACACACATACACACTCACATTTAAAAAAAAAATTTTTTTAAATTTAATCCCCCCGCCTCCCTACCTATGGGAGTGCTGAGGGGATTCCAGATTTCCCTGGGGTCCAGTGGTGTCACTGGGCGCGCGCGCGCAAGGGAGAATTCTCCCCTGAGCGCTCTCTCCCCAGCTACCTCGCGCGCCGCTTACTAATGCCGGAGCCAGAGTGACGCCATATTCACCCACACTACGACTGGGGTGATCCACACACCTCCTTACCAAGGATGGAGAAAATTGCATACTGATACAAAAGGACACAGATACACACACACACACACACACAGATACATACTAACAGACACACATACTGAAACAGACATACACGCATATAGGCATACATACTGACACACATACTGAGACATACACACAGGCATACATAGTGACAGACAGACACACATGCATAAGGACATACAGACACATACATACATTCATAATGACATCCATTCACACATACATTCATGCATACAGACACTGACATCCATACACACATACAGTGCCTTGCAAAAGTATTCACCCCCTTGACTTTTTACCTATTTTGTTACATTACAGCCTTCAGTTCAATGTTTTATTAATCTGAATTTTATGTGATGGGTCAGAACACAATAGTCAAAATTGGTGAAGTGAAATGAGAAAAATATATACATAAAACTATTTTTTAGAAATAGAAAACAGAAAATTGGCATGTGCGTATGTATTCACCACCTTTGTTATGAAGCCCATAAGAAAGCTCTGGTGCAACCAATTACCTTCAGAAGTCACATAATTAGTGAAATGATGTCCACCTGTGTGCAATCTAAGTATCACATGATCTGTCATTACATATTCACACCTTTTTTGAAAGGCCCCAGAGGCTGCAACACCTAAGCAAGAGGCACTACAAACCAAACACTGCCATGAGGACCAAGGAACTCTCCAAACAAGTAAGGGACAATGTTGTTGAGAAGCACAAGTCAGGATTAGGTTATAAAAAAAAATATCCAAATCTTTGATGATCCCCAGGAGCACCATCAAATCTATCATAACCAAATGGAAAGAACATGGCACAACAGGAAATCTGTCAAGAGACGGCCGCCCATCAAAACTCACTGAGCAAGGAGGTCGTTATTCAGAGAGGCAGCACAGAGACCTAAGGTAACCCTGGAGGAGCTGCAGAGTTCCACAGCAGAGACTGGAGTATCTGTACGTAGGACGACAATAAGCTGTACGCTCCATAGAGTTGGGCTTTATGGCAGAGTGGCCAGAAGAAAGTCATTACTTTCAGCAAAAAACAAAATGGCCACAAACCACACCGGCACTTGATACCTCTATAACTCTCTGGACCAAACTCTCCATAAAACATGCACTCACGTCAAACCCCTCACCCATGACACCAATCTTGAGAAACGAACACTTCACACCAGGCATGACCCCAAAAGACTTTGCGCACTATGAAGACAATTACTTAATCAGGACATACCAATTCTTCCAGAACCAAAAAATCATAGCGTTCACGGACTTACCACAAAGCAGACCACTTACCACACACGACTTCTTCCGATATCTGCAAATCAAAAACCTACTGGAAACTCCTACATATAAACAAGCCGGACTCACCCCTCTCACCACCTTTGAAAAATCATGTATCCATGCCCCTATACAAAAAAGCCAGATCTCTACAACATATACACAACTACTCAGGGCGACAAAAACCCAACCGTTAGGGTACGTCTCAGCATGGGAACTAGACTTAGGACCCCCAACCGACCCCACAGACTGGACAGCAATCTGGGAAGCCACAGCAACAGTAACGATATGCGTAACCCACAAAGAGTAGGCGTAAAAAAACCCTCATGCGCTGGTACCTCACCCGGTTAAAACTCAAGCAAATGGGACTTTCCACTTCAGATAGAAGCTGGAAAGGGTGCGGTCAAAAAGGGACATACTACCACCTATGGTGGGAATGCCCACACATAACACAAATTTGGACAGACATAGTGGCCTTGGCCTCAAGAGTCTTCCACAACCCCATCCCAAGGGATCCATGGCTATGGCTACTATCCAAACCGCTAGAAAACAATCCACGAGCTCATAAACTACTAGCCAAACTAGCCTTGGCCACTAGAAGAGCCATAGCCACCCACTGGGGGTCACCCACAGTCCCTACAATCACCGACATTAAGAAAAAAATTAATGAAGCTAGGTCGATGGATAGTTTATCAGCACTCATTCACAACACTACAACACATTGCAACAAAATATGGGACCTGTGGCTCATGGAACCCACCACAGCCACTTAAGAAACTAGGCCCCCAAGAGAGTCAAGGCCGAACACTACGTCTCACAAATCAACTTAAAACCACCTTTCCCCTCCAAAGTCTTAACCTGAACCCAACCCCTATAGCCCACCATAATGGAAGGATAGAATCGACAGTAGAATTATTAGACAGGCAACCAACCAAGAAAAAAGACACATAACCACACATCATAATCACAACCATGAAAGAAGCGTGGAAATATGCACAACACCAAAAGGCCATAACCCACAAAGGGCAGGAACGCCTATACACCCCCCCACCCCCCACAACCCCATTGAAGACTCCAACAGATGGATCCTCTCTACCACACTTCATCCCTAACGTTATTTATAATTTAATTTAATTTTTCCTTATTTTCTTAACCTTCAATTTCTGAGTCTTTTGCTGTTCCAATGCTACCTACAGTTGCATTCAAATTTGTTTACCCTTGTTTAATTGTATAAAAACTTGACAGAACAGAACTGCATACAAAGAATCTATAAATGCACCACCAGATAACATCTAGTTCTCTACATACTCTTCTGTATCACGATGTACTGACGAAATGTTTGAATTGTGGCTTATGCATAAGCCCATGCATGTACTACCTTTGTACGACACTCATGTGCTTGTCAATTCTGCCAAATGAAAATAAAGAATAAAAAAAAAAAAAGGCACGTTTTGAGTTTGCGAAAAGGCATGTGGGAGACTTCCAAAATGTATGGAGGAAGGTGCTCTGGTCTGATGAGACTAAAATTTAACTTTTCGGTCATCAAAGAAAACGCTATGACTGGTGCAAACTCAACACATCACATCACCCAAAGAACACCATCCCCACGGTGAAACATGGTGGTGGCAGCATCATGCTGTTGGGATGTTTTTCAGCAGCCAGGACTGGGAAACTGGTCAGAGTTGAGGGAAACATGGTGCTAAATACAGGGATATTCTTGAGCAAAACCTGTACCACTCTGTGCATGATTTGAGTCTACTACAGAGGTTCACCTTCCAGCAGGACAATGACCCCAAACACACTGCTAGTGCAACACTAGAGTGGTTTAAGGGGAAACATTTAAATGTGTTGGAATGGCCTAGTCAAAGCCCAGACCTCAATCCAATAGAAAATCTGTGGTCAGACTTAAAGATTGCTGTTCACAAGCGCAAACCATGCAACTTGAAGGAGCTGGATCGGTTTTGCAAGGAGGAATGGGCAAAAATCCCAGTGGTAAGATGTGGTAAGCTCATAGAGACTTATCCAAAGCGATTTGGAGTGATTGCCGCAAATAGTGGCTCTACAAAGTATTGACTTTAGGGGGATGAACCGTTGTGCACATTGACGTTTTCTGTTATTTTGTCCGATTTGTTGTTTGCTTTACAAAAAACAAACAAACAAACATCTTCAAAGTTGTGGGCATGTTCTGTAAATTAAATGATGCAAATCCTCAAACAATTCATGTTAATTCCAGGTTGTGAGGCAACAAAACACGAAAAATGCCAAGAGGGGTCAATACTTTTGCAAGGAACTGTACATACACAGACATGCATACAGACAGACATACTGACATCCATACACACATTCATAATGACATACAGATATACATACATAGATACTGGCATGCATACATACTGACATACATACACACACAGCTCATTTTTCAGCCACCCTCCTGTTTCTTACCTTTTCTTTGCAGGAAGGTGGCTGGGGCTGATGGGAGTCGGCGTGGCTCTCCTTCTTCAAGTCAACGCTGGCTCTCCTCCTGTGCGGAGTGACATTTTATTTTTTAAAGGGGCACGGTCGTGCTATAGCACGGCCACAGAGCTGAACGGGCCCCTGAGGGGCTGAGGTAGGAGCAGAGGGCCTGTGGTGTGTGCAGTGAGCAATATATTGGGTGCAGGGAGAAAGGGGGTGCTGAGGTGAGGATGTACAAAAAATATATATAAGGAGCTTACCTGTGCTGTCTGCCATGCTGCTGCAGCTCTTTATCTTCCAGGTGCTCTTCATATGAGGGCAGGAAGTGATGTCACTTCCCAGCCCCGCCTCTTCCTCCTCACACAGGGGAAGGAGACCTGGCAGCAAGAACTGCATGATCGCTCCCGGGTCTCCCTGAGAGAGGAGAAACAGGTGAGGGGATGGGGGGATTTTGTATAAATACATAATACAAAATACATAAATTCTGAGAAAATACAGTGTTTACATTGAAAGCTAGGAACACCTCCAGTTGCAGTCACTCCGAGTGAACCAGAGGGACTTCCGAGTTGATGGAGGCATAAAACTCCTCAATCCACTCAGATCAGCTATGTGCAACACTGTGCACGAGCATCCTGTCTGCAGGCTGTCACGTGGTATTGAGAGCTGACAGGCTGGAGGAGCTGACAGGATGAAGACCAGAGACCGAGCAGGAGGGGAGGATTCAAACTGTAAGTAAACTTATTTAGTGAGTGTGGGTGACTGAGTGTGGATGGGTGACTAAGTGTGGGTGGGTGATGGGGATGGATATGGATGATGGGGATAGATGGATATGGATGGAGAGTGTGTGTATTTCTTAAATTTTTTACTACTTGTGTGTTTGCATAGAAACACTATATATAGATATGTTTATATGTAGTGTTTATATGCAAACACACAGTTTGGCTGAGGAGGGGGGTGGGTATAGAAAGCGAGCTGAGCCGTCAGTCAGACAGCTCAGCTCGCAAACGCGCATTCCACGCACATGCGCGGTTGAGCGCTGAGTTTCTTCATAGGGCGGCATTCAATGCCGCTCTATGAAGAATGCGATTGGTGCAGCGCGAAACCGCGCATGCGCACCACATCGCGATGACGCTTCTCAAAGAGAAGCGTCCTTTTGGGGGCATGGCCTAGCGGGGAGCTCGGTGCTGGATAAAGGCATCAATTATATTTTTGTACTACACCTCTGAATAAACTCTCCTTATTGTATTACATTGTGGCTAGAGTCGGCACCGAGGCATTCACAAGACCGGGGAACTTGAGTGCTGGGAACGCAGATTTGTATATAAGGAAATATGTATACACAAAACACCAACATTATGAGTGCATTTTAATTTTAATATTATTTTCATTAATATATAATATTAATGAAAATAATTATATAAAAATAAAAAAATATATATAAATTTACAGAAATAGACTGGAATTTTCGCCCTGGCGCCTGGGATTTGTCAGCCTTTTAGGTATGGTGACCGCCCACGGGAGCATTGGGAGCCGGCTGCCTGCGAGAGCATTGTAGACGTCGAGCGAGGAAGCAATGTTCTTCCTGGCGTTCTTTTCTGCCCCCTATTGGTGTAATTGATGTGTGTATGTGTGTCTGTCAGTGTGTGTTTGTATGAGTGTGTATATGTCTGTCAGTGTGTCTCTCTGTCAGTGTGTGTTTGTATGACTATGTGTCTCAACGTTTTTACGCTCGACCAGTTTTGACCCAGAAGAGGAGCTAAGACTCCATTTCCTGTCGTCAGAGAAATTTTTCCTATGTGATCTCGCAATGCCTCCTTTCACTATTCTCGAACGTCCTGTCACATAGAAACTACCGAATTTCGTACTAACAGAATGAGTACAGTTTGAGAGAGGCTGCGTTATACCAAACTTATTAAGAAACTATTTCAGGTTTACATTTGCACAAATATTCAGTACGCACAAGATTTGTGATCAGAAATAATTATGCTCAAGAGAAAATTTCTGCACATATCAAGTACAAAAAATTTGAGGGAACATTGCATGTGACCTCTGCAGCCATGTGACTGCATTGGCATAACCAGGCCTTTAGCTAGTTCATGCTGCAATTTGGCTAAAATATATACCAGCATTTACTCAGGGCAATCCAGCTCAACCAGAAACGTGTAAACAATTATCTTTGAATCTTTCCGAACTTGAAAAGTTTGGGGATAATTTGAATTCAAGTTAGAGGCATAAAATTCTAACTTATAGTTTACAAGGTACCAATTTGCCCAATGTTCTGACTCATCTCCAAACTTGTATCAAAACTGGATTTTCTAATCAAATTTACCTATTATATTTGAATCTTGCAAATACTACTACCTTTCATAGAATTATTTTTAATATGTCACTCTGCACCCCCACCCCCTTTTGTTACACTCAGATTCTCATTCATATACTCCTGGACTCCAATTCATATGCATGTACATTCACACACACACTCATCACATTCATAAATAGCCCCAATATTTATTATTATTTTTATATTATGAGGCCCAGCCAGCCATTTTTTCTACTTTTTCCTGGGGGAAAGCTAAAGTGGAGCTTTATCCATGAGGTCCAGTGGAGACCTACTGGGACCACTCTTTGAACTGATTGCACAGAGCTGTGCCTGCTCTGGAAAGAAGGAGGTTCTCTTTGCCCCTTTTTTCCCACCTGACATTTGGGCAGAACAGCCCCTCCTCCCACGGCGAGTATGGCACAGCACTGGTAATGCTACTTGTGTAGGGAATGCAACAATGTAATCTCTCAGAATGAGATGCATGCTCGATCACTACAAGCTGTACAGAGTTCAGATCGAATCTGAAAGCAGCAGAGACCCATCCCCTTGGTTCACACAAAACATACTGATCGGAATAGCTTGTTAAAGGTGTAACTCAGTCTACAACTGCTGTGCCGCCATCATCATGTCTCTGCTGAGCAAGGTTTCTGTTGCCTTAATTGCAATCCTGTTGGCTTATTATTTATACTCCGGATATGATGCCTTTGAACCATGTGAGTATCCATTGATTTTACTCCTTTATGACGTTCTGAGCAAAGTTATTTTGCACAAAACTCTCCCGGTAGTGCAAAAGTAAATTTTAACACTTTAAGAACCAATTCCATTGTAACAAAAAAACAGCATTAAAAGCTCTTACATCTAAATGGAATGTCCCATTCTATAGAGTGACTATTGCAGGACTATATATAGAGATATATGTTGCTAAATAAGCAGGACATTCCATACTGGATCAGGGTCTTTATGGACCAAATTGGGTTTCTTAAGAAGTTCTAAATGGGGTTAAACAGTGAATTAGATCTATATTGTATATTTACCATATAGGGTCTCAGACCTGCCTCTGTCTGCCCACTGGGCATGTCTGTATAATGTTGAATGGGGGAGGGAGACAACTTTACCATACAATGAATGTGTAATATTTCTTCTTAAACTGTATGCCTATTTTATATATGATACATTTACATACGGGGAGAGGCAAAGGTCCCTTGATATTTAGATGCATTTATGTATGCAATGTATTAATTCATGCATTCAATAAAAATAAAAGCCTTATATCTTTATGCCATTTATTACCATGTTTGATGACATGTCTTACTTTTTCTTTTTTCTTTTCTTTAATGTTTAATCACCAACAGTTATTCATCCTTAAAGGGACACTATAGTCATCCAGACCACTTCAGGTCAATGAAGTGGTCTGGGTGCAATGTCCCTCAGGTTTTAACGCTTCACATGTAAACATAGCAGTTTTAGAGAACCCTTTCAGCATCACGGGAGGGGAACCCTGAGGTTGAGGGTTCCCCAAGGATTATATAGTGTCAGGAAAATGGGTTCCTGACGGGTTTTCCTGTAGTGATCCTTAAATCAAAGCAGCATTGTCACTTGTTGCATTTTTTACAAAGACTCTACAAGTTAACACTAGGTGGCCAACGTTAACAGGTAGGGAGATATACTTACCTTAAAGGGATACTATAGTGCCAGGAATACAAATCTGTATTCCTGGCACTATAGCTCCCTGTGCCTCCCCCCTCCCTCGCACCCCCACCCCCGTGTTAAATAAAGGGTTAAAAACCCTTTATTTACTAACCATATCCCAGCTTCGCCACCTCCTCTGTCCCGCAGCAAGTGGGCACTAATGTGTATGCGCTGCAAATTCCGCGCGCACATTAGACCTCCCCATATTCAAGCTCTGATTCAATGCTTTCCTTTGGGGAAAAATCTGATGCTGGATGTCCTCCTGCAGAGCGTGAGGACGTCCAGCGACAGATACCAGACCAAAGGTCAGTTTTGATCCAGAAAGCACTTCCAGCGGCTGTCTGGGACACAGCCACTGGAGGCAGACTTAGTCCTGCAATGTAAACATTGCAGCACTGTTTAAACTACTGCAACTAAGTGCAAAAGGGACATTGCACCCAGACCACTTCAATGAGCTTAAGTAGTAGTGCCTATAGTGCCCCTTTAAGCAGTCCCTTCTCATTGTTGCCATATTCTCGCCACCATATTTGTTTGGCTCCAAGTGACTTTGTCTGCCAGTAGCCATAGTCACTATTGTAGTCTTGCGCATGCAAGGGATTATAAAACAAAGTCATTAGAAGTTTCTGTGAGGTGCGGGATGTTCCATAGAAACTACCTTTTTGCTAAAGGTTGCCAGTATGAAGAATGTCCAACACTGTAAACAACAGATTTTCATAGAGAATCAGTAATTATAAAACAAAGATGACTTTTGCCTCACCCTGTATATAGAATACATTGTATATACATAAATTGCAAAGAAAGAACACGTTTAATAGATAATATGACGGTAACTAAAACTTAAAAAATATGATACAATTAATTTATTATAAATTATTCACGTACAACTGACATATTTTATTATATCTAGATTTTCCAGTTACACAATACCTTAATATTTAAGAGCAACTATAACTAGAAGAGAGGTGTTGCCCTCACTACGATCAACACGTTACCGGTGTCTCCAGGAAGTTGGTCAAATGCCACTGATTTCTTGCTTGTACATAAAGGTGCTATCAGCTATAGACATTGATCAGACCATTAACCTTGGTCATAACCAATAAAACAGCTTTTCACCTATATATGCTCATCATAAACTTGGGAATGCAGCATAGTTAAACATTTGATCTAATTTTTGAGTTTTAAATTGTACATATTCTATATTTTGTAACTTCTTGCACACCTGGATCTTGGCAGACTGCTTGTGTGGCCCATTAGTTTAAATATAACGAACCTTGTATCAGGATCCCTTAGTCCCCTTGTATCATGATCCCTAATGTCACCTAATATGAATTAGAGTGGTTGAAGCCACTCTGGAAGCCACCCCAGTTGCAGAGTCAGGAACGACAGTGATGGAAGGGAGCCCGAGAGCCCATCAGGAAGCACATAACTTCATCTACACCCTCTTCACCTACTCATCAGTAGAGGTCAAGGAGGTCCAGAGAGACCAATAATCTTGCTGAGAGTGTAAGTAAAATAAGTATACACAATGAGTATGTAATTTAACCTTTTCAGCATGTAGGGTACCCTGGATCCAAATAATACTGTAGGTATAACCAGGGCCGGCCCAAGGCATTGTGTTGCCTGGGTCAAAGGATGAAATGCTGCCCCCCCATCCCCAACAAAACCACACTAAGCAAAACACGCCCACATCCATTATGTTATGCAGTGTCTGTGTAGTGGCTGCAGTGTGTGCAGTGGCTGCAGTGTCTGCATATTGCATGCAGTGTGTGTAGTGGATGCTGTGTGTGTCTGTATAGTGAATGCAGCATGTGTGTATTTTGTAATGAATGCAGTGTGTGGATAGCGGATGCAGAGCGGATGTTTGTGTTTGTATATAGTGGATGCAGTTTGTGTGCATAGTGGATGCAGTGTGTGTGTCTATAGTGGATGCAGTGTGTGTGTATTTGTATATAGTGGATGCAGTGTGTGTGTGTGTATGTGTATATAGTGGATGCAGTGTGTGTGTATTGTGGATGCAGTGTGTGTGTGCATAGTGGATGCAAAGTGTGTTTGTGTGTGTATAGTGGATGCAGTGTGTGTATTGTGCATGCAGTGTGTTTATATAGTGGATGTAGTGTGTGTATGTGTATATAGTGGATGTAGTGTGTGTGTGTGTATTGCATGGAGTGTGTGTTTGTGGTGTTGTAGTGTGTTTATGGTGATATATTAAATGTGGGGGTGAGCAGTTTTTTTTAATGTTTAAAACTTATCCTCCTTTCCCCCCCTCCCCCCCCAACCTCTTACCTGTGGGCAGGGAGGTGGGATACAAGATTCACTGGTGGTCCAGTGGAGCAAGAGCATTGCCCTGCTCCGGTGTGCATTGCGTGCCGCACGGAGCTTTGCCATGGCAACCCGTGCTAACACTCTCGCTATTCGCAAGAGTAGAGTACTGGCTGCTGCTGAAGGTGTAAGATTACTCTCAGGGCCCCCTCTTCACTTTCCTCCAGCAGGAGCTTGGAACTGCACATATATATATATAGCGGTACTCACTATATATGTGCAATTAGGTGGCCCAGCACTACACATGTCTTTAAAGGTCAAAATGCCGTCGATGTCACAGTGCCACCTGGAGCCAATGGATGGGCCGGCCCTGGGTATAACTCATCAGGCTCTTACCCACCTTTTCACACAATGTGCTGTAAGGGGAAGGGTAATCAGTTGGGGCCAAGGAGATACATAGCCATATAGACTCCTATAACTATGGCCCCTGAGGGCCAGAAGATGCCCAGTAGAATAATACACTTCATCAAGGACCCATTATGCGCCCATTCTCCAGGGCATGGGCTTTAACCATTATTAATATGCCCCATTACAATTAACCCCTCTGGGTGTTCCCAAGCCCCTAGCCACCCCCGAAAATCAGTCCCTTCCTACCGTCTTACAATAATTAAAGTGAGGAGGGGCACACAATCTTAAAAAATAAACTATAAAAAATGAATAATCACCACTGGTGAAGTCTAGTTGAAATATTTACTTTCTATTGAACCTAAATAATAATGTCCCAATTACTACAATGCTAAATCTTATTTGCACACAAAAGCCTAATCTGTTTTGTCTTTCTGTGTGTTTTTTCAACAGCCATGCTAAAAGGAAAGAAAGTAATAGTTACTGGAGCCAGCTCTGGTATTGGAGAGCAGATGGCATATCACTTGGCGCAGATGGGATCTCACATCTTAATTACTGCACGTACAGAAGAAAAGCTGAAAAAGGTAAGTATCATTGTGCCGTTTAACTGCTGTATATTTGAGAGGTTTGAACAGTTCTACACAAACATATCCAACCAATTTTCCGTACATGAGAACATTGGTAGATGTTAGAGCATTTCTGCTACTTTTCTTGATGCTAGAATGAAGCCATGCTCAAGTCTCAACCAGAGTAGATTGAACCTTGCATAAGATATTTGGAAAATGCTCAGTTGGTGTGAGAATTAGGTTTATGGTGCCCCCAACCATGAGAAAAACTAAATTGTCACAAGCTCCTATTACTAGCAAGGGCTCAAGTCAAAGCTGGAGAATTGTCAAGTATACATTCATGTATAAAATAGTATTTCACATAATTATGAGATGTTATTGGAAAGTGTCTCCTTTATTTAGTGCTTAGGAGATACAGATGTAATCAGAATTATTCAACCCATTTGATGAAAATCATGTTTCTTGTCAAAATATACAGACTTTCAGCTATTTGCCATAAACAAATCAAACAAAAGCAATTGAAATAGCTCAACACAACAAATGCTTCAAGTGGTTTTCCCAAATTCAACTGAAAATACAACTTGTGACCTCTCCAGTCTCAAAATTATTCAACCCTCCCTCGCAACAGTAGACATATGCAAAACAGGTGCTGTCTCAAGCACAGCTGATGCAACTAATCAAGGGCTTCATTAGCTAAACCAGGTGTGCTTGAGCTGGAACACTAGCAATAGGGATTGAACACTGAACTGGCTAGGGATTTGTTGAGTGTCAAGTTTGACTGCATGTTAGAAATATGGCTAAGTCAAAAGAATGGTCCACAAAGTTAAGAAAAGAGATCAATGCCTTTCACTAAAAAGGAACAGGATACAAAAAGATAGTGAAGGCACTGAATGTTCCTAGAGACTTTATTGTATTCATAGTTTGCCTGTTCAAAGTTGAAGGAACAGTGGTTACACTACCTGGACTACGCTATCAATGGGGCTAAGCTATCAATGGCTGCAACCAGACTTCTGAGAAGGCAGGCTGTGAAAAACCTTTGAGTGACTACAAAAGACTGGCGGTGTAATACTCAAGAAAATAAAGTTCTTTGAACACAATTGCAGAATTTACACAGTGTTTCAGTATGGAAATAATGCAGAGTTGAAATGTGAAAAACAAGCAGATTAAAGCTGGAGTCGTGCAGGATGCATTCAGGATATTAATGAAATGCTCATTTTTTATGGGTGCACAATTAACTAGCTTAATTAATGGTTGAGAATTTCCTTTGACAGCAGACAACTGAAGTGTTAAGACAATGTAGCATTTTACTTGCTGCAAACTGTACAACTCAGCTTGTTAGAGAAGGCAGTGGAATAGTCAGAGTCCGTACAGTGTCCAGGGAGTATATATAGTTCAGCAAAGTCGGTTTGGAAGATCAGAGGTACACAGGTAGATATCACAGGGAGCTCAGATGACATTGAGAAATACTTTGACTGAGCAATTTCAGAGTAGCCGCGGCTTTCCTTTAACTTGGCAGTGTCAGACGTATGGACGGGGTCCGATCTGCGAATCTGGGAAGTGACTCCGAGGGAGTTCGCCGATCTGTAATCATGACATGCAGCAAGCCTTGGTGGCAATAGGCACTGAGGTTTCAGTAAGCACAGTAAAGCGCATACTAAACTCAGAAGGTTTCCATGCCAGAACTCCAAGACTTACACCACTATTGACCCAAAAGCACAGTATGCTCAAAATCATATAAATAAGCCACAGAAGGTTTGAGATTCCTTTCTGTGTGCCCAATGGATCAGCGGTATGTCTGGAAGAAGAAGAATGAAGCATATGCTGAAAAGAACACTCTGCCTACAGTTAAGCATGGTTATGGCTCGGTGATGCTCTGGAGTTGCTTGACATCCTCTGGCACTGGAAACCTGCAGTGTGTGGAAGGTGAGATAGATTAATTGAAGTATCAGGAAATGTCATGCAGTCTGTGAAAAAGCTGAAGCTTGGGTGTCATTGGACCTTTCAACAAGACAATGATCTCAAATATACCTCAAATTGGTTGCAGAGGAAGTCCTGGAAAATTTTCCAGTGGCTATCATCACAGTCACCTGACTTGAACACCATAGAAAATCTCTATGGTGGTGGGATTTGAAGAAGGATTGCAGCACGCAGACCCAAGAATATTCCTGAACTGGAGGCCATTGCTCATGAGCAATGGACTAAAATTTCTCAAGAACGCTGCCAAAGCAGGTTTCTGGCTATGCATCTCATTTGCAAAAGAGTGCTACACTAAGTACTAAAGATGCTTGCCATGAAGGGGTTTATTAATTTTGAGACTGGAGAAGTCATTATAAGTTTCATTTGCAGTTGAATTTGGGGTAACAACTTGAAGCATTCATTGTGTTGAGTTATTTCAATTGTTTAATTTGTTCACTGCAAACAAGCTGAAAGTCTGTAAATGTTTACAATAAACCTGATTTTCAATGGGGGTTGAATAATTTTGTATACAACTTTATCACCATGGCTAACAAAACAGGTTCCTACTAATGCCATTGTTTTTGTGATAATTGTTCCACTTTTAGAAATGTGCCAATTTCTTATTAGCAATATTTGAAAACATTCCCTCCAGTGTTTTGTATGAATAAATACTTTCCTCTCTTTGACTATATTTGGTGTCAAATTTGAAACTGTTTCACTTTGTGTTTACCTACACAAATATAGCATATAATTAACATGATACTAACATTTAATGTGCAAAATTAGAAATATAATTGTATTAATTGTAATAAATATTTCTAAAGCATGCTTATAGCGACACTGTCATTCGTGGGGTTATGTTACTTTTTCGCTTAGACCCTCCAGAGTTAAACGTGAGCTTGCAAGGTGGTGCAAAGTTGGAGAGAGGTGAGGTGGATATATTTAACAGATGCTCCTCTCGCATTGGAGCCAACATTTGGTTTAGTTGTCTTCAGCTACTGTGGGTTTCATCTTCTAGGTGCCATGTCACAAAACAGGGGTCTGTGACTCTAAGAGATTTTATAGATCATCCTATGTAGAATATTGCATATTCTATGTTTCTATTGATTATTTATGGATGTGTGTATTGACATAAGTAACATATGGTATCAAGTCACAATGTTTTCTTGTATGAGAACTCTGGAATGTGGATTGGGGGTCTTGTCCTTATATGGCTAGAGTTATGGTCTGATGTCAGAATGGGCACATCTATATAGTAACTGAACAAAGGGACATGAGGTCTCTCTCTCTCTTGGCTCTTCTTCCTGTACAACAATGTAACTCGCCTTTCAGAAGTCCAGCAATTTACCATCTGCTGTCGACAATCCATGATCATGTAACATCCTTTGTTGTTTTATTATGTATCAGTAACTAAGAATAAACCATAAGAAACTGTAAGCCAGATTGCATATTAGTACTTTTCATTAATATAGACGTATATTAATGTTTTGCGAGCCTTTGACCCAAGACTATATATACAAAAGATGTATATATCAGTCAACTGGAGAAATCACAGAAATACACAGAAGAAGCAGAATTTATTACACCCTAGAACAGAGGTAGGCAACTTTCGGCATTACAGATGTTGTGGACTATATCTCCTCTGATGCTTTGCCAACATTACGATTGTAAGAGCATTATGTCCACATCACCTGACTAAGTCCTCAACATCGGGAGTGACGAAGATTGCCTACCCTTGCCCTAGAAAATGGATATTCCCAACAGATGTTAGTTACATCTTCTGAAAAAAAAATGCCAAAATCAGACTGCTTGAAGAAAAAAGTAGTCCCTAATTAGTAGTTTTAATTGCATTGAGAAACATATAAGTGACAGTGCCACTTTGAATAAAACTTGTGTGTTAAAGGTATTACCATAACTAGATGTGTTTTTCCAGTGCAAAAATAGCACAAAAGATCAAAGTGTTCATATACAAAATAAAAGGATGCCGTAGGAGCATTGTTCAGTACTCTATACTCACCACCCACCCCAGTTTTGGTAACTGACCAATTATGGTATTTGTAACATACTGCATTTTTTTAAATGTGCTTTAACTACATATGGTTTGGGTAACGTCATGAAATTGAAGCTAATCTAAGTGGCATAAATGTGTAGATGGTGAGCATAACGCTTAGCAATACAAAGTGTGTGCCAGCACTGCGGAATATGTTGGCACTTTATAAATTGCAGTAATAATAACAATAAGAAGAAATTGTACAGATTTGGTTATTTGACATGCTGAGTTATATGGTGATATCTAGTTTGCTGTCTCTCTCACCCTCATTATGTTGGAAAAACCAGAAGGGCATTCATTACTTTATACAAATTGGCATAATTTGATGTTACTTTAGTATAAATATGATAATTATGTATCAAGTAATTCTATCCATTTCAATTTAGGTGGTTGAAAAGTGTGTAAAATTAGGAGCAGCGTCTGCTTACTACATCCCTGGAAGCATGGACAACATGACCTTTGCGAAGCAGGTTGTGCAAGAAGGAAAACGCTTATTCGGTATGTCCCCAAGCACATAACCAATGTATCGTTAACCACCCCATACACTATGCCAAAACTCCTTTGCTTAATAGTCTATTGGCCTTAGCATCATATGCCAATTACTAGCCTTAATCATAAAGAGCATTTTTTTTTCTCCCAGGCTAAAATCTTTGACCAATATGTGTACAGACTGAAGATGTCCCTTATGTTTAATCTATTATAAACATAATGCAGCAAAATATGTTTCAAAACAATACTCTGAAAAAATATTTTTTGTAAAAAGATACAAATTTGTTGAGTTCCTGAGCTTGTTATAAATCTTCAGGCAATATTACTTGTAAAGTGAGCATGGGCCCAGATTCAGGAAGTGACACGGTCGATCATGATGCTCCCTTAACTTTATATGGCGACGCTCGGTTTACCCCATACATTTCTGGACAGCAGGGTGTTATTCACACAGCAGCGGTTTTGCAATTCTTTTTTAGCTCCCAGAAACCTTTGCTGTGTTGCCTCTCAGAATAATACAACCATAAGTGATGACATTGCATGCAGCTTTTTCGGAGAAAAATGGAGGCATTCGTTGTTGGAAGGGAGGTGCAGAAAGTGCAATCTTCTGAAGAAAAAAATATTAGAAAAAATAAAAATAACTAACTGTAGCCTATGCATTCACTCATTCATGTGTGAGCACATGGAATACCCCTTAAATAACCATCAGTGGCCAGGAACACCATCAGCCTTCTCAAATCTCCCTATGAAAAGATCCTTCATTTTTTATAAGTACTGAGAAATGGAAAATGTCAGTGAATGCCATTTAATCCTGTCTGTTTTGCAATGTGTTCCATTTGCTAATGTAGGTGGACTGGACATGCTGATTCTAAACCACATTGGTTATACTTACTTTAATTACTTTGATGGAGATGTGGACCATGTACGAAATCTCCTGGAGATTAATGTTCTGAGTTACGCAACCATGACTGTAGAAGCACTCCCCATGTTGAAAAAAAGCAATGGGAATGTGGTAGTTGTGTCTTCATTTGCAGGTAAATATTTCGATGGTAAATATCCTAGTTTTATATACTGCTGCTCATAGCACTTAGCACACACTCAGGAGTACTCTGGTGCTCAATGTTTTAAACGTGTGTTTCTAGTATAGACACACAAACAATATCAATCTTGCAGCTGATGCTGACACAATGCTGTGGAGTAATTCGGAGAAGTAAAGTATCCGGTTACTTGTCCTCCATATTGTGTGCATATGTCCCAAGTGTCTCTATTTAGCAGGGACAGCCTCTATTTTGAGCCCAAAGCCTTCTGTATGCATATGCGTGTGTTAGTGTGAGTGTATAATTGTGTGTCTGTGTGCGTATTTGTGTGGAATTTATTTTCAAATGTTGGCAACCATGATTTCCGGAGCCAAAATCTATTTTCTAAAGTTTTCAGTGCACATATCATTGAACTCGCTCAATTCTTGTAAATTACCACCAGTGGATGTTCACAGGTTAGATTTCTGTGAATAAATTTCATTTTTTCCCCCTTTTTTGTAATTTTGCAGTAACAGAAGGATGGAAGCTCTGATAAACAGTTTTATTAACATTTTTCTTATACAGGTAAAGTAGGCTTACCGTTTACTGTGCCCTATTCCACCACCAAATTTGCCTTAGATGGCTTTTTCAGCTCTTTGCGCATGGAATTCAAGCAACAGAAAACAAACGTTTCCGTCACATTGTGCGTCATCAGTTATATAGACACGGGTAAGTGTGTGAAAATTAGTTTTTTTTTAATCTAGAGTAAAATATTTACTCTTAGTTTAGTTTATAGGCAAGTATTATAGACAGTTTAAATTCTCTAGTTTATGGACAGTAACCACACTCATACAGTTGCATAAATAAAGGATGTCTACGCTTTTTTTCCGAATATGTCACATTTTCTGTATCCCAAATCTCAAAACTGTCATCTTAGTACAATAAGGGTATATAACATAACATATAATTATATAACATTAAAAAAAAATGTTCTTGCTCTTCTAAAAGATAATTCTCTATAGCCCACACCCATTAGGAGAGGGCAGGGGCTACAGAAAAATATAGAAAGGAGTGAACATGTCTTTGCCAAGCCCCTTACCTCTCACCCATTCCTTCCCTCCCATTTGTGGCCAAGTCCCCCCTTTGGTGGCTAGGAGCCCTCAAGCCCCTAGACACCCCCACAATAAGGAAAAGCCTTAGTTGTCTTCTTTTTTCTTGCATCTTCTTTTCTTCAGCAAGTCAAAATATATATGCCAAATAATAATCTATAGTCACCGACAAAATTCTAAAACAAATTTGCAAGCCAACCAATCAAAGCACTCTGACAGGCAAGTCTCACTTCTTTCGAGACCTGCGTTTGAACATTTTCACGCAAGTCTCAAAAGAAGTGAGATTTGTCTGTCAAAACACTCTGATTGGTTGACTTACTATTTTTTTTTATTGTTTCTGTAAAAACATCGGGGTGAGGGGTACAGGGTATAGAAATTGAAAAGAGGGAGGGGGGTGACTTACTATTTTTAATAATCGTGTCAGTCGTTCTGTTTTTTCTTGTCTTTTGTGAAATGACACATTTTCCCTCCATAAAATTTGGAGATTATTATTAATATTGCCATTTATATAGCGCCAACAGATTCCGTAGCACTTTACAATACTATAAGAGGGAGGATTTAACTATAAATAGGACAATTACAAGAAAACTTACAGGAAATGTAGGTTGAAGAGGAGAAGAGGACCCTGCTCAAACGAGCTTACAGTCTTTAGAAGGTGGGGTATAAAACACAATAGGACAGGAAATAGCAATCAAATAAGGTGGGAGTGAAGCAGAGCTGGAGGAGAGAGTAAAGTGCTGCCATTTAGGAGAGCGCAAGAGACAGGTATGTGAGGTAGAGGTTACGCTGGGAGGCCATAAGCTTTCCTAAAGAGATAGGTTTTAAGGCACCTCTTAAACGATTGAAGACTAGGGGAGAGTCTAATGGAGGTAGGCAGACTATTTCATAGGAAGTGAGCCGCCCGCAAGAAGTCCTGCAAGTGTGAGTTGGTCATACGGGTGCGAGCAACAGACAGAAGAAGGTAATGGACAGAGCGGAGAGACCGAGAAGGGGCATAGCTATGGGTCTGTGAAGAGATATAAGAGGGGCTAGAATTGGTCAATGCTTTATAGGCAGGGCCGGCCTTAGGGGTGTGCGAGCTGTGCGGCCGCACAGGGTGCCATGCCAACAGGGGCGCCGGGCAACCGACACAGCTCGCACAACCAGGTCCTGCCCTACCTCAGAGCGCCCTGGTGGGTGAAAGATTGTGCCCCAGCCGGCCGACCTTTACAGAGTGTGTGCTCTGCTTTGGTAATGGCTGGTGAGAAGACCTCCATCACCGGCCCGCTGTTTGGATGATGGGAGCGAGCAGTGAGCGCTTTAAATCTGCTCTCCTCTCGCGAGCTTGGGATTCAGAGTGTTGCCGTGGCAATGCTCTCATACTATCAATGCAGAGCTCGCGAGAGGAGGGCTCCTGTTCTGCAAAGTGCAGAACTTCAAGAGCTGGCAGAGACCGCTGGACCACCAGGTCATCAGTATTCCACCATCCCTGCCCAAAGGTATGTAAGAGGGAGGGGGGAATCAACATTAATTAATTAAACAAAACCTTAAATTGCTCTCTCACCTCCTCATTTAAAGCCTTATGTCACCCCCTCCTACCCACAAATCATCACTATCCCACCCTTACTGTGTTACCTACACACACTCCATAACACACACACACATTCCATAATCTACTCTCACCCACACACACACATTCCATAATCTACTCTCACCCACACACACACTCTCACCCACACACACACACTCCATAATCTACTCACCCACACACACACACTCCATAATCTACTCTCACACACACACACACTCCATAATCTACTCTCACACACACACACACACACTCCATAATCACTCACACACACACACCCATAATCTACTCTCACACACACACACACACCCATAATCACTCTCACACACACACACTCCATAATCTACTCTCACACACACACACACTCCATAATCTACTCTCACACACACACACTCCATAATCTACTCACACACACACACACACACTCCATAATCTACACACACACACACTACATAATCTACACACACACACACTACATAATCTACACACACACACACTACATAATCTACTCTCTCACACACACACACACACTACATAATCTACACACACACTACATAATCCACACACACACAACTCCCCCTTTAAACACACTTTGTTCTCTACACACATGCACACTAGATAACTCACAAACACTACAAAACGTACAGACACACTATGCTCCCTATACATACACACTACGTAACTTGCACTCATACACACTACATCCCCTTTACACACACACTATGTTCCCTAGACACATACACACTACATACCCTATACACACACACATTATATAACCTAAACACACACATACTACATAACCTATACACACACACACACACTACATCCCTATCCCACACCACACTATTTTTCCTACACATACACACTGCATCCCTATTCCACACACAACATAATGGCATGGCAACTTCAGGGAGACAGGGCACTCTTGTTAGAAATTAGTTTTTACTCCTAATGCTAGAGTGTTCCTTCACATAGGTTTGTTTTTCCCAAATCTATACATGTGGGAGGAATTCTTCTAGCCCATATATATCTAGAATTTTCTGCTCTTTAAAAATACCAGAAATTGTGTGTACCATAATAAGTACAATTTAACATGATTTCTGAGAGTAATATTTAAATATACATGTATATTAATATAGGTGTAGTATTATTATTATGTGTTATTACGCCTATAACATTTACAAATGTATTAATATACGTGTATATGCATGATATGCCCAGAAATCACATTAATACGTAACACCTATGTAATGGAGGCTTAGCACTTTTTACAGGATGAACGAGGGCATGTGACCATGGAGGGGCGCTGTGAATATTTTTCGCACAGGGCGCCTAAAGGCCTAAGGCCGGCCCTGTTTATAGGTATGGGTTAGCACTTTGAATTGACTCCTATAGGATACAGGAAGCCAATGTAACGACTGACAGAGGGGTGAGGTGTGATAGTATATATTCTGGATTCATGGACAATACTAAAGGGACAACATTCTTTTAAGAGTGGGTCATCTAATCTGATTGTTTTATCAAAATCAACTAATATAAATTCTTCTTCAATCTTGCAGATTCAGCAGTAAATACTGTGTCTGGTGTCATCCAGCAACCAGCAGCTCCAAAAGAAGAATGTGCACTAGAGATTATCAAAGGGGGTGCCCTACGGAAAAGGGAGGTATATTACCAATATCAAGCCACAAAGATCCCGTTGCTGTTACGGGACTGGGCTCCAGAATTTCTAGAGAACCTTGTTCTTATGAATTACGATGTGACTAAACTCAAGCAGAAACAATGATTGTTCCTCCCACCTAGTTGTAGCTTAAAATAAAAATGCTTTCTTACTTATTTAAAGTGAAACTGTCACTTCAATCAAAACATTTACATAAGACAACAGCGTGGCAAAACCAGGACATTTGTTAATTTTCACATGCTTTGATTTTTTTTTTCCACGGGCTGTCACCCACTGCGCTAGAAGGCATCTTCTGTCATGATATACAGTAGATGCCTATGGCCACATGGGATATTCCTTAGATTTTGAAAGATTCCTGCATGCAAGAACTACTGTCCAATGATTGTTATTAGGGTAAGACCCACACACAAGTGACAGGTTAACTTTAAGGAGCAAAGTGTCTTAATAAGTACTGAATCCCAAATATAAAAACAAAATGTATATTAAAGCACCGAGGGAGCAATATCTGAAAGTCGTCAAAGCTTTAAAAAGCACTTTGGCACCTTTTTCACACAAGCAAAGAGAGGTCTGGCATGAGAATTACCATTATCTATAAATAAGCTATATTCACATTGTACATGGTAACAAAACAGCCTTGTTTGTTGTAATTGAGACTACTGCATATTAAGGCGATAAATGGTGCTTTCAAATTTCATAGCTATTTTTTGGTGGTGTTGGTTATCTACATGTACTTCAAACAACTGGAGGGTAATACGCTTATGCCTGATTTTTAGTAGACAAACAGACTTGTCTTGACTTTAATTTGGTAATGTATTATAATTGTAATGCATTAAAAATATGCAAAAATGTCTAATGTTTAGAAAAATTAAATAAAAAAGGATATTCACCTTTGAAAGGACCACTCCAGATTGATTTTTTTTTTTTTTTTTTTTAATAAAAATGACTCTTTAGTAGATATATGCATGCGTTTTTCCTGGTTGTATTAATTGGTGGTATATATTAAAGGAGCTCTTTTGTGGAGGCTTTGGAGGGAGAAGACAGGCATGCTAAAGTATAACGTGCCTGTTACTTCCACTAGGTCTGGGGAATCAACAGAGGGAGGAAGCAACCGTCTCTGGTTGTCCGAATGACAGCCAGGGGGGTGTTCTGTAATTTAATTATAAAAGTTTCAATTTGTCCAAGAAACCAGCATTCTTATAAATTGTGGTTAAAATCGGATAATTCTCACCCATAAAGCTGAAGTTCTGTATGGGTTGGGACAGTGTTGGATCCAGAGCCTGAACTCGGGAGGGATTCCCTGGTGGTCCCAGTGGTGGTGAGGTGAACTCTAGCCCATAGCTCCAGGGCTAGAGTTCACGCTCACGAGATTTGGAGCGTTGCCGTGGTAACCGCGGAGAGAGTCTCCCATGTGGCAGGAGAGAGGGAGACCCTCGGCAATTGCCCCCTCCCCCCCCTGGATCTGCCACTGGGTTGGGAGTGGTCCTTTAAAGTTCCTGCAGCCTTTCTCAGACTAAGAATTCAATCCAATCCAGTCAGGAGTCTCTTATTCTTGATGAATTCAAAGTGGATTTCAAATTTAAGGTGAAAATTCTCTCAGTCAGCTATGCTTTCATTTCAGCTACTCTAGCCTTAAATTTGAAATTCACTTTGAATTAACTTTGATTTCTCGTGTTGGTGAATGACTCTGATAATGTTATTATCTCAGCAGCTCATTATACAAGCAAAACATCTGTTAAATCCTGCATGTAGTAATGTTATTGAGACGATTAAGGGATAATTGTGATCCACAGTAAAAATTACAGATAAGAAATTGAGTCTTTAACTCTGGATTTGGCTAAACATGGGGTTTCGATAAATAAATAAATCCTATGTAGGAGCCAACAGATTAGCAAAATTACACATCCTGGGATTCATTTTAGTCCTTGGGATACATTTATTACTGCTTTCTCTCCAAGGTCTCAGGTAGATCAGAAGTGAAATCGTGTGATAACAAACATGAGAGTGGACTTTGTATAGGTGATAAAATCTAGCACTCTGTCATATATTAACTATAGTGCTACAAAAATAACCTCTTACCTGCATGCAGGGGCGTACCTAGAGCATTTGGCACTCGGGGTGGATCCTGT